CATGGTCTCTGCAGAAAGTTGTAGGGAATTAATTATTGTAAAAACCCAACCAACAAACAACAACAAAAACCACAAAAAAACTTGGAGGCTTTTTTTATTCCAGTGTGAAATATGCAGAGCCCCAGAAGTTTACTAAGCAGAAAACAAGGTTTTGCTCTGGGGCTTACAAGGCACACAGCTATGTTTTTGAAACAAGCTTTGCTATTTAGAGGTAGTTACTTAAAGCCTGCATAATTTAGGCTGGAGGGAATGGAGGCTTACCAATACCTAGCCAGGCAAACTCCCATCCCTGAAGGGTACACAGTCTGATCCAGACAGGAACAAAGAACTAAGCACTATGTTTCAAAGCAGGAAGTGGACTCAGCAACAGGGAGTGCTAAGCAGATGAAAAAAAAAAAAAACAATGATTTTTTTTTTTTTAAAGGGATTCAGAAGAGATGAAGTAGATTAGGTTGCTTCTCCTGTGTACTAAATATTTCAAATGTGTTGGGAATTACAGAAAGCACAAACGCATACTATAAAACATCAACAACTGCCAAGCTGCAGCACCTGACAGCTTCCAGCACAGACTATGCATCAATTAACCTTAAAGACTGATCATTTGGTGCTTTTCTTTAGGAAACTACGTTTTACAGAAACAGATACAGACTGTACTATAATCATCGGAGAACAGTTGCAAATCATCTTATAAATGTCAGCGTCAATCTAAAAACACCTCGGCAAGATAGTAACAAGTATTTAAAGTCAATGGGTAGCTGTGATTTGTTCTTCTTCACCTTCTCTTACAGGGTTACAACAGGGAATGTTACATCCCAATTATGTTTATGGGCTTCCTGGATAGTGAAAGACCTAAATCAGGAATTTAAGACATGGGACAATATCCTTTCCTTGCCCAAAGCACCGATCGGTTATGTCCATAGGCTTAGTTGCAGAGAAAAACAGAGCTGCAGAGAAAAAGCAAGGAAACTGCTATCCAATGTTTTTCACTGGGAAAGATGTTCTGCACCAATTTCCCAAGATAACTATTTCTGTTTTACTATCCTCAGGAAGAACACACTCATTTTGCTGGTATGAATCTGAAGGAATGCCTTATCAATGGCATTGGGTCAGCAGACAGCATTTCTCCTTAGTTACGGGTGAGTAACTACACTGGAACAAATGAGTTAATATTAACTAATTGGCAACAGAAGGATGGTTCTCTTCCAAAAAAATCCAAACAAAGAGTGATAAAAATCAACAAGATTTAATATTGTCCACAACTCCAATTATGTTCTAATAATCCAAAAGTAAGTGAAAGGCATTTACATGTCAAGCCCCCTAAATATTTACAATTATTACTGAGGCAGGCTTGACTCTTCACATCACCCCATTCAAACAACAGCACTGACTAGACTGTTATAGTACAAATAGCACAAAAACATGCTGAAGTTAAAAAGTGCAAACTGAACATGGATCCCAACCCAGAGTCTTGTCTGTAGCCCAGGGTTAGAGGAAATTTGAACCCAGGTTGAGGTCAGAGCTTTGCCAATCGCCTGTGTTTGGACCCACAGGACACGAGACTCTACATTCAACTGAGTTTTTCTCCCTGGCGTCCCAGTGAAGGAGTGGGGGTCTCAGCTGTGCTGCTTCACTGATCCTACACCTTACCTTCAGCAATGAAGGCAGAGGAGCTCTAGCCGTAGCAAAGATCCAACCATCAAAAGGCTTCAGCTTGGACTTGGAAAACATCCGATTATCCAGGCATCCCAAGATATCAAACTATGCTAACACTACGCTTTGATGCTTCCAATTGTACCATCTGGGAGCAGGAAGAGAATAAAACCGCATTTCTTTTTGTTTCAGACTAAATCTTTTAACTACATATTGGCACTGAAATGGAGGAAGGGATGGTATTTGTCAGGTCATGAATATGGCGATTACGATTTCTTACTTGAATGTTTTTGGCCATGCTGAACAGAAGCAATATTGGAATCTGGGAAGACAAATTAACCTTCCTGTTGACTTCCAAATACGCGTCTCTTGATACAATGACTTTTTGGAGACAGTGCCTGAGGTTAACAGTTCTTCTGGACTGTGATTATTTTCAAGCTCCTCCTCTTTTGCTTGGTCACTTTACACTGATTGTCCATGGGCTCATACACAACAGAAAACGGGAGCAGTAACGCAGGGGCAATTAGCAGTCCCTGTGCTAAAGGAGAGACTCAGGTAGGTAAGAGCGAAGCAGATACAGATCGCTCCAAACAATCACTTTCTGCTGATTTACGCAGCCCGTTTCAAAGGATCTCAAACTATAAATCAGGGTCACTCCTGTCTTACTACAAGGCAAAAGCAGACCTGAAACAAACCCTGACGTGCCATCCTACCAGGGCATTACTGGCACAAGGATTAACACTTTTCAAACCCTGTTATATAGCAGCTTTCCTCAAAATAGTTTTTATAGCATAAAGGAAGATTTTATTTACTCTAAAGACAGTATAACCACTGCCTTCAATATTACTCATTTTTAGCGAAGGAGAACACTAAGACAGACCACTGCCATCTTCCCATCTCCCCCTCCAGCTGTTCTTTTAAAATGCCCTTCAGTCACAGACCTGTGAATCTCCACTTCACTTCTTGCTGCGTGGGATTAAGTCCAAGGGCAGCTCCTCCGCAGCCCCTGGGGAGAGCAGTGCCACCAGTCAGCGCTGACTGGGAGCTGGAGGGCCACCAATTTGTGACCTCCTGGCCCAGGGCTATGAGTTTGACCAACTGAGCCATACCCAAACGGACCCAGTTAATTTTTCACAGGCTTAACAGAATCAGCAAGCCCCAGCTAAATGTAAAAATACCTGAAGCGTTTTCCCGGGTATATCTTTAGCCTAGCTCACGTAGACACCCAAGTGCAGACTGGGAAGTTTTTCTTAACGTCAGGAATGCTGATATTCTCAAATTACTGACAGACAGACGCAACTTTCATGGGTTGCTTTACGGTTCTGAGAGTCCCATTTACACAGGTATCAGAAAACACATACATAGAACAAAAAATCCCATGTCCTGGGGCAACACCTTGAATACACTCTGCAGATAAAGTGAGCAGAGGAACAAATATAATGATTTTTAATTATTTTATTATTTTTTAAATATTAACACAGAAAACTTAGTACACACTTCCTTCAGCATACTCTGGGGAAGACCAAATGCCCATGGCTGCAGATTGTTCGCTCCTATTGCAGCACCAGTGCCACCACTTCATACAGCTGTGCAAACAACTTTTTAAAAGCAACAGACAGCAAAATGGGACTACACCTGCAGCATCCTACGACAGCTGTCACCCAAAGGTCTCATCGCAGCAGTAAATCTCATCTTTTTTAATGACAGAGATGCTATGCAGAACCATTGACAAATCAAAGGAATACCACATGTAGTGTAGCGCAGCAGCTACTTGCTGAGAGCAACACAGCTCTGGCTTACTCTTCTGCAAAGAAGTGCCAGAGCTCTCATCTCTTCATTCCTGGCCTGAGCTTTGCTTTCTGTTACAAAGAGTTATTCTTCTCTGCTTTTCCTCAGGAGGCATCTCACATGCAAATCCTGAGGAACCTTGCCATACTACAAGCACGAAGAACATGGTGTGGGGAGTACAGAAGCATAAAATGCCACGTTTTCAACATTACACCTACTTTCTGAAAAATGTCCCAGTCACACAAGTGAGCTCTGAAAGGGCATTAAAAACAATGTCAGAGACCATCTGGAAAGGTGCTGCAGCTTTGGAGGACTTTCAGAAAAAAAACACAGAGGGCACTGAGTCAAGGTGAGCTGAGAAGTATGTAACCAGGAAAACCTGCCAATAAAAGGCACTCCTTCAGAACACAATGTTTTGTCTGACTACTTTATCAGGAAATCAATTTACAACTGCTTATTACTCTGAACTGAAAATGACAGGAGTGCAAAGGCTTTAAATCGAGGAGAGGAGGATAGGCAGCTTACAGCAGTCTTCATTCACTAAAGGATTAAACTTTTTCTACTTCTGCATTGTAGAGATATATCCAGCCTGTTAGGTTCTTTCTTCCCTGGGGGTGTTTTTGTTTTGTTTTGATTTTTAAACAGTACATTTTTGCTGTGCACAGGTAAAGTAACCTTGTGTCAGTTATGCAATGCCCTGGAGCAGCCTGATCTATACAAGGATCTTTTTCATGGCCAAAAAAGCTCTCCAGAGATACCTAAAATTGCGACTTCAGGACAAGCCTTTTGCAGAGAAGACTAAGTTTTAGATTTCAAAGGAAGGAATTTGTTACCAAAGTGATCACAGAAATGTACAGAAATGTAAAGAAATTCACGTGGTGTTTACCATGGTTCAGTTCAAACTTTCGACATGCACAAGGTGGAAAAGAAGATCCAGCTTAGAAGTTAAGCTGTAAAGACTGATCTTTAATGTAATTTGATCCACTTTGTATATAACTATCACGTCCCCGTATTTTTAGTCTAGAAGAATAATTTCATTTCAGTTTTGCATACGAGTTCTCTCACATTAGGAAAATGCAATTCACCTTTCCTCCAGCTTCCTCCTCTATTCCCCAAGCTTCTTTTCAGCAGCACGCCCTCTTTGTCTACTTTCTGCTGCTATTTACCAGTTCTGAGTACTTCATCATGGCCCAATTTCATCATTGTTTTCACACTCAGCTCTGTTTGAGCTTGGCCTTTGTGTTCATCAGTACATTTCCTACCCTTCCCTGCACAGATGGAAGGACCACTCTGCCACAGGGCTTGAGTCTGCCCCAGAACAAACAACTAAATCCTGGAAAACTGATGGCCTGCAACTCCGGACAGTTCCAAACACACTTACCAGCTCTGTCAGTCCCACATTTCTTCTTCCTCCTTCAGCAAGTATAAACCCACCCCCTTAGTACTTGTGAGACTTGCTATCAAATTGTTCCACTGTTGAGATGAGTCAACGTGCTTGCTTGTTAAATCTCCCATTTCTTCAATATTGCTTTCCTAGCAGTAACACTGAAAGGCTCGCTCACCTCCTTGTGGGAATCCTTATGGGCTTCCAGTGTTTTCATGATGGTCAACTCCGCATAGTTTTTAAACCTTGCTGGCTGATTCCGTAAGATCTCTCTAAGGACTCGCAGTGCCAGGGCTCTTATTGAATGCTGTGTCAAGAGAAATAAATGTTAGAAAAAGTCATTTCTCATCCAAATTGTATTTTGAAGTAAATTCTCAAAGCTCCCTACGCCATCAGAAGTCTTATATAGCTCTACCAGATCCAGTAGAACAAGCAGTATGCTCAATAACTAAAACCAGAATTGGTCTCCTTGCTTTCTTTTGCACAAAAATTCACATGACTGTTCTCACTGACAGAAACAGAGATTTTTTTATTTTTTTTTTAAATCCATACTCTCTTGGCTATTAAGTACAAATTTGTACCCAAAGAAGCACATTTCATGCTTTGCTACAAATTTGTACCCAAAGAAGCACATTTCATGCTTTGCTCTTCCTCTTCTGCTTAGCTTTGCGGATATCAAACTGGGCTCCATCCATGCAACAAAGCTGTTTCTCGTGTACTGATGCAGTAAATCAATGCTGTTCCTGTAACTCCTATGGAAATTACTTTCAAGAACAGTCAGTCATTGTAGTCACTACTGACCTATGTGTTAATCCTTTGTATCAAAAGACCATTAGCTGAAGGGATTTATAACACCTGCTTCACTTTCACAACTGTTACATTAAGTTTTTGGCCTGCAGCCATTCCAAATAGATTCTATCATTTCAGCAGAGGAACACTTTACCCTAACACAACCTTTAAAGCATGCCCTCTGCTATTCATCTGCAAAACTCAGAGTAGCACAATTTATTTGTACTTAAAGTCACCAGATCTTCATACACGTATGATGCTGTTATGATTAAACATGTAGGACTACAGAAGTTCATGCCAATACTAAGAATGATTGTGAGAGTACACCAACCATTTACACTGCCTTAGAATCAAGATTTTATTTCTACAAGAGCACCATATGCTTTATAAGCAGTATACAAAATACAATTGATTTTGAATCAGATTAAACAGAAAAGAACTGGGAGTGCTTTTACGCCTACATGCTGTAACATTTAGATGGAGCACGGCTCTGATTTGAAGGCACAGCCAGGGTGCTGAGCCTTTATCAAAATGTCACAGTGCTGCAAGCTGAACAAACAGCCCCATCTGGAAAAAGTAAAAGCCTCTCCTGTAAAACACCGCTTTGATCAACTACCAAAGATAAAGCTGTGATAGTAATGCAGCTTGAGTTCCTCCTGTCTACATCTGTAGCTTCTTTTAATACTTTAGAACAAGATCCCCTGTAAAAGCAGTTTGCTCTTGATGAAATCCATCCTCTAAGATCTAATAGCCTGGATCTTTAACCTACACAGAGAAAAAAAATACTCATCTAGGCTGCCTTTACTCTCCCTTTTTGGGGAACGGGTGCAATGTGGCCAAGAGCTATTATTATGCAATAATGTGCATGCATTACTTTGTATATGTATTAGGTAATAGTATTCATTATTATAATATGTATTATGTGCCACATAATACATATTATGTAATGATATTATGTAATTTCATCCTAATTTGGAAGTGAACAACATTTTAAATCTTAATTCTTACAAAATTGGAAAATAACTTCCTTTCCGACTCTAGTTCAATTTCCTAGTTATTTGCTACTAAACACTCAGAAGGGAAGGGAAAAAACTGGTACACTTCAGAGTAGCTTGAAATTCGTCACTGAGCACACTGACAATGAAAGCAGTCAACAGCCTTCAAAGGAAGAAAAAATGAGCAGTGCAGCATCACTGAAGAGTTGCAATACAAACACAACAAATTTGATTTAATCTAACTTGCAGAACCTATCACCCTAGATAAAGGCAAAAGAGCTGAGAAGAGCTGAGACAAAAATCTACATCTCACATCTTTGTCTCCAAGTGTCTCCAGCAGCAGGAGCAGAATGGTTTTGAAATGTTCCTCCCAAACTCCGAGATTATCTTCCCTTGTGATCTTCAGAAGTTCCAGGAGAGCTCCTTTTCGCTCCTCCACCCGTTCATTGTGGTTAGAGAGCTCTTTCAGAAGGTCAGCCACCAAATCCGAATGGTCAATGGGTACTTCTAGGACAAAGGGCAGCAAATCATTTGGGGAAGGGGGAAAAGATCAAAGATGCCCATATTATTAATCCTCTACAGAACAAAGTGCACATAACAAGCCCCCCCTCTCCTGCCCCAGTCATCAAATCCCCGGTGGCCTAAGTTAAGCAGGAAAAAGGACCTGACTAGCCCAAAATTTCACTCAAGTTCATAATACTGCTCATGAGTCTGCACACAGCTTCTAACAAACGAAGAAGAGATGATGACTGTATTTCATCCAGTTCCAACAATTACTTCTACAAGACGAGAACCGCCAGAGTTTGTCCTAGACACTCACACCCAAAACCAGTGATCACATGTATGACATTTAGATCAAAGTACAGTGAGTCATCAGTACACTGCAGAGGGATAAAGCTAAGGTGCAGCATCCTTTAAATGAAGTGGAACGCTCAATAACAGTGAGCTAATGAGTCATTTCAGTTTTAGAGTAGGAGGTCCCCAGAGTAGTGTCCCTTACAGATGCATTTAATTTGGACTATTAAGGGACTAGTTTGAGACAAACTCCAGGAGGAAGAGAAAAAAACAAAACCCACATTCAAACTGCAATTTAACATTTTCTTAATTGCCACGAATCAGGTTCTGCTGTTACATGAGAACACAGAACATTCCATGCCGAGCCTTGACTCAGGTACAAAATAATACTCAACATACGCATTGACAGGCATGCACCCGAGGAGCACTGCACGCATACAAATACCAGGAACAGAACAAGCTGCCTGCAGTTTTACAAGATAAGCTAATACAAACCATCCCGAAGCTGATCCATGTCATCATCAAACACTGCTTCCTTGAGGGCAGTCTTGTCGTAAGTGTTAATTGTGTCGGAATAAGGATAGGGGTTATACTCTCGAGCACGTGGCCCTGAAAAGGCGCGGGGAGGCTGGGTGTTCAGTAAGGAGGTTTTGTTATCTAGAGCCATCCTTCCTCCTTCTACAATGTCACTGCTTCCGCGGACATCACTAGAAGGTACCGCAAGGCCACCATCTCGAGACACCTGGGGATCCAACAGAAAAAGTCGTGAGACTCCTCAAAACCTGTAAAAGCTGTAAGCCTTTTTGAATCCATTCACCATAGGATCATGCATCAATTAATTTTGTATAGAATCCTTTATTTCTGCATAATTCTTGAATAAAACTTTGATTATCACCTCTTTCCCTAGCTTATGTAACAGAACTATCTCGATCACAGGGCGAAGAGCTATGCTAACAGTCCTGAATATAACGTCCCAAGCTCTGGGTCAGGACTAACTTACTAAGAAAAAGAAAATTAAGAAAAATCAGTATCTTTCTTATGCAACCTCATGACCAACTAATAGAGGAAGTTAGATGATTGCCAAGGGAGATTAAAGGTTGGACTAGATGATCTTAGAGGTCTTTTCCAATCCTATGGTGCTTAGCAAGCTAATGTGAAATGGACAACACAAGAGTCCCAAAGAAAAAATATCAGACCACCAAGAATTTTTTGCTTTGAAGGCTAACAATCTACTAACCTAAACTTGTTCGCCCGGAGAGGAAGCAAAACTACCATTTAAAATTGTCAAAAATTTTGAATTCTGTATATTTGATTAAAACAAATGGTATCTCATGTAATAGGTAATTCTGTAACCAGTGATACAGTGTAAGGCACCACATGAGTTGGGTACTCAGAGTGATTTCTTCATACATGAGACTTGCACAGTAATCCAGTAAGTATATTTCACAGGAGGTTAAACAGTTGTAAGGCAGCAACGGACTACATTATTGGCAACCCAAAATTTAGGGATATGAAGTTAGTAACCAGAGACTAACACCTGAAGGGAAAAACAGACCAAGAATAACTGGATTTTGTATGTACACTAGCCAACAATCCAAAGCCAGGTTTGAAAACAACGTTGTGAAACTTTACCTATCTCCAGATATTAATCAAACCAAATACTTACAATGTCACAGTCTTTCTTTCCATCACGTTTGATTGGTTCATTCAGATCCTCTTGACTACGGAAACTAAATTTTTCAATTGCTTCTGTGACTCCACGAAGAGAGCTGTAGATTTCATCAGAATTTAGGTTCTCCGTGTCATAATCCAGCATACTAAAGACCAAACGTATATGAAATGTTACATATGAAATTGGAAACAACTTTTCACTTAATCAATAAATGCCAAGTTGGAGACAGATGATTTGGTGTATCATTTCTAACAGTGATTTGCAACAGAACATGAATGGAATCAAAGCAGACTTCAGGTCTGAGTCTCCCCTCAAACTGAGCTAAATCTAGGAGAAGCTTGACTGAAATCAGTGGTATTATATTGCTGTGATTGAGGGCAAATCAGGTCCACTGTTTGTTACATTCCACAGCAGTGAGTATGCTAGCTTCTATCAACCAAAAACCTAGCGCCATCATGGTAATGGTGTTATTTAAAAAGAAAAATAACCACTATGAGAACTCAAAGGGTTGTGACAGCTGGTGGAAAATAAATCAACAAACTAAGTTTCATAATATAACAGATATACTCTGTCAATGGATTCAAATGCAATAGATTTAAATGGAAACAGAAATGTACCTTGACATAAAAGCTTAATCTAACATATTCCAGTTTTCACTTAGAGAGTAGAAAAAATAAAACTACTTGCAAGATGCCTTGATAAGAACTACTGAAATATTGAGCCTAAATTTGAGAATTCTCTCACTCAAATACAACACTTTCTTGCAGCCACTTTCTCAGAAATTCCTCATTAGCGTAAAGCCACACGAGTTTTGGGATTCCTTAAAGAGTTACCCAAAATTAAGTACCATGAAAAAAAATACCTAGCATGCAAGGGCAGATGATACAAAAAAAGACGTGACTAGGAGGAGAAGCTCCTACATGCTTGGAGGAAATTACAAAGCAATATTGGCAGGGCTTTGCTCTATTCAGGCAGAAGTTGAGTTTGCATGACAATCAGTTTTCCAAGAGAGACTTTACGAAGAGACCCAGTAACTGAGAACAATTTCTCTGGGGGAGTGTTGGATCTTAATAGAGCCAGAAGCAAAGAAACCAAAAGAATTTAAGACATTTACATCAAGTTGTTTGTCAGTAAGCGGCAAGAAGTGGCTCCCTACAGGGGTGAATTACTATTTCTTAGCATTTTGGGAAGGATTACAGGATGGGCTTGGAGAAAGATGGCTGAACAAAGAGCCGTGTTCCTTTCTGACTAAAGAAAGATTCCCTGTGAGATGGTGAAAAGATACTTTTCCCTGTGAAAAGTATCAAAAATAAAAAATCTCCTTTGAATCCTGATTACACAACCATTATTTTCTATAGATCTGAAAGTAGGATGTTAATTATCTAGAACTACTACTATTTTTTCTGGAAAAAACTCGAGAACTTTAGACAAAGGGTAAAATTGGTGTTGCCCGATTCCTTTGGGATTAACACACTGAAAATAGCCATAATCCCTGGCTCCCAAGCAACGTGCTCGCTCTACAATCACTCAAACCCTAGCACAAAGTATTCTGGCAGAGAAAACAAAGAACAACTCCCTGACTTTAAATAGTGCCTGTCAGGCCAGGCCTGGCTACGAAGAGAGAGAAGCCACTTGAACAACAATCAAGACCAGGAAACAAAAGCTGTTTATAAACCTACAAAAGTCAGAGTATTTAGGGCCTTTCAGATAGCTGAATGAAATTAATGCACTGTGATTGCTTTCCAGACAAAAAAAAAAAGTGGATGCAGATTTTTGATTCTTTTTAAGTTATCAGTCAGGGCTAGGAGAACATTTGCTTCATACCATCTTGAAAATATTAATTTTGCACTCAAACATATTAAATTCATAGATCTTGAAGGGTTCTTCATATAATACTGAAGTGCGCAATGGAACGGCCATTACTGAAGGTATATATATATATATATATATATATATATATTACTGTAACTGTGTATCCATGCCACGAGATGAAATGACTTACCAAAGGCCACACAATTAAATCCATGGAGAAAAATAAAGAAATCATCACAGATGTACTGACATTAAATCTTCTGCTAAAGTCACTGCTTCTTTCATCAGGAATGAATTTTGCTCTATGCTGCTCCTAAAGTACAGATGAAAGTATATACTCTGCAATGCTAAATGACTACAGAAATTTCTGAATGAAGAACCACCGGATCTAATAAGTTTTCCAAAACCACCTTTTAATAAAATCTGAAGAACCCAGTGATTCCATATGTCAAGAATAAGCCTGTGTAAGAGATCACATTATGGCTGTGTTTTATACAAAATAAAACTTTACATGTAAACACCCATGTCTACTGACAGCATGCGTGCTGGAATACTTCACAGACAACATGATGGGGGAATAAAAAAATAAAAAATGGAGCTACACCCACCTGCCAGGGGTGAAAAGGCACAAAACCAAAAGAGTGATGCAGAAAACTAGAAGAAAGTCACAGGGTGAATAGGAAGTGAGTAGAGATGAGTAGTGTTTAGGGATGTCACAACATTATTTTCCACGTTGTGCTGCACTAAAACAGTAAGCGCTCTACAAGTTTGTCAAGACACAGTTCTGAAGTTTTCCAGTCTGACATGAAACGTTTTACTTCCATAATTATTCAGCTCCCAATTCAAACAACGTGTAAGTAATCAACAGTTTAGGACCCTGAAGCAGTACACAGTAACCCACTTCCTTGCACTTTCAGGCTCTGGGCTGGAACATGTATCAAATAATTCCAAACCTATCAGCTAATGAAACGAGGAAAAAATTATTCTGGAATAGTTTAACCCGCAAAATCAACATGGATCTCTTCCACAGATTTTTCAGTATTCTCGAACAGAGTGATAACATGGATTTGATGTTTTAAATCTGCTGGTGTTCATAGAATCCCATATTCTGTATCTCAATATTCTTTCTCAGTTGTCACAGACTGCCAGATTTTCAGTCCTCCAAGAGCTATTTGTTTGGGTTAGTTTCAATAGCTTACATTTAGGAACAGAGAGACTGCTGCCAGGGTATAAACTTAAAAAATAAAATCCAAGAGGTCTGAAATTAAATTTGGATTCAGATTGTTTTTTGATTAAAACAGTATATAGCTTTGGTCTAGTATACTGATTAAATACATAGACGTTAAAATTAGCTGTCAATAACCTCTAAACCTCGTGGCAAGGACATAGGATTACAATTCTAATTCCATGCTACCCATTTCCAAGATGTTCCACAATACAATCACTGTGCAAGCAGCTGGTGAAATCCCATACATGTCCCCCTCATCGTCCTGTTGATGTTCACTACTGCGGTTTGAACGTGCTCACGTGCCACTTGCACAGCGAATTGAAGGACGTTGCCTGCACTATCACAACACAACAAGCGCCCACAGAAAGTGCTCAAGAACTGTGTTCTGGTTCGGAGTCTAACTGTGAAGCCTACACCCGTTCAGGAAATCCAGCAGGGAGAAGTCAGCTGGAAAAAGTCACTTGGAGTTTTTCCACTCGTGTGCCGCATCTTCCCAACTGAGGGAAGAAGCAGCTGACTGCCCTCTCCCCGCTCTGAGAGCTAACATCAGCCCATTTGCTTTTTCAACCAAATCCTCTAGAAATCATTTCCCACGTTTGAACAAATCCTGTGGTAGGAAAGGTAAATAATGCTGTGACATCTCAGACAAGTTGGTTTAACAGGTAGCTTGTTACCTGGGAGAATAAGAGCGCCTGAAAGTCTTGTGGGAAGGAGCGGTGGGGATGGAGTTAGGCTGAGAAAGGGGAGGGGGGTGCTTCGACAGCCCGTCTGCACTCCAACCCCAGAACCGACTGCAGTGATCAGAGGAGAAACGAAAGAGAAAAAACAGAGAAAGGAGAGGGAGAAAAAAAAAAAAAGAAACTATAATCTGAGTGGCTTAGTGCTGTCATGCTGCCTTGGAGAGAGAAAAAAATTAATAGAAACAAAATTAAGCAAGAATACTCCATTGAGCCCCTTAAGTCATTGCTTTGGCCTTTATTTCTCAGTTCCACTTTTTTTTCCTTCCTCTAACACAAGGATATGGATCACACAAAAATAGTCCCTGGTAAATTGCATAAATGGATATAGTCTCTATAAACAACACTTAAAATGCTCTAAGTGAACAATCCCTGACCATGCATCTGTATCCAAACGCTACACAGATACTTGCAATCAACAGAATTTCCTGGAAGAAAGGAAACCCAGAGTTGGACTTAATGAGTAAATGAAAATCAGTCTGGAGTGTTAATGCACCGTGGAAACTGGGGGCTTGGCCCTGGTCTTCGTAGACAAACCTGGGAAGACTGAGTTAAACCCAGCCTCCAAGTCAGTTCAAATTTCTTTTCAAACTTCTGCGTGGGTCTTTGGCTTACCAAATGATAACATGCCTTTGGGTCAAGGCATCGGTGTGAGTTTGTTTAACCTTTGCTTTTGTCCTGTTCCCTTCACATCACAGGGATTTTCTAGTACATCATCTAAGCAACAATATAGATGCTGGAGATGGTGGAATATTCATGATACCTCTTTGTTTCTATTAAGTACACTTATCTCAGAAAGTCACATTTGTGTACACACAAGTGAAAGACACAAGGAGATTAGAAGTGGCAAACAAGCCAAGAATTGCTCCAGAGCAAATAGCAGCACTGCCAGTTGAAAACCCATCTGAAGTGTGGTGTCGAGAAATGCAGCTGTTAACCAGAAATAAAAACCAGCTATTACAATCAACTATTACAGAAATACACACGAGAGCCAGACTGCTCCCACAGCTCAGATCTCACCTACCTGCACACAGGCCACTGAACAATGCAGGCTTGTCCTTATTGTGTAAGGTGGGTGGCTTATTTTAGTTCTTTTTCCACACCCTGCCTTGCTCAACTTAATACAGAAACCATTAAAGTTTACTTTTAATGGTATTTTCAATTAAAAACAAGCATGTAAGCTTTTAAAGCCAAATAAAATTATGTAGTTCCTATGACAAAAATAAGCACAATCATATGTAACCAAATTTTCATCCTTTTATTTTGATATATTTCCTCTTGGAAGAATGAAATTTGTTCTTTTAGTAATAAGAACTATGTACAGGTTTTTGAGCTACCAATGAAGGCAAACTTATGTATTGTTATTACTTCAAATATTCCTAATGAATTCTAAGTGAAAATTCACAACCTGCATGTGACATCTTGGCTCAGAAGATCATTTGCTCATCAGAATGGCATTCATACACTGGAGCAATTCACAGCCTAGTATTTTTCTTTTTGTCATACTGTGCCACTTACTAAATCTAAGAAGATTCTCTCCATCCAACACAAACTCATATCCATTCTTCTGAGCATTTCCCAGGAAACAGTCTGTCTTCTTAGTCAAGAATGTTTTTGTTTATTTGTTTGTTTGTTTGTTTTCCCCTATTGTTTTCAGTCTTCCCAACTGCCCTCCCCGATTTTCTTCTTCTGAAAACACTTCCTTTCTCTATGACTCCTCTCCCCCAGAACTATCAGGACAACAAAGCAGGTACAAATGCAGAAGCAACTCACAGATGCAGTGCATATGTCCTAGTGACCATGAAAGCAGAACAGTATGGAGCAAATGCAAGCAGAAAGAAGGGCTTTGTCCAAGGCCCTGAGAACAAGTAATCCTTCTGAAGACACTAACAGCAGGGACTACACGATGTGTGGAGCACACATGATCATCTTGGTCAGCAGTTTAGCTGGTGGCATCAGCAAAGTCCACTTCAACCAGAACATTCACTATCCAGGCAGTTCAAATACATGTAATGTACGCACAAAACTAAGTCACTAGGAATTCATTTGGGATGGCAATAATACATGAGAAGTAATGTGACCTGAGGCAGCAGCAGACATACTTGCTATAGATAGTATCAATAAAGCTTTGCTGATTCATACCGAGAACATGGCCCACAAACCATTAATTATATGGGACAGCAGCTATGCTCAGCAGCTTTTTTTTTTTTTTTTTTTTTAATAACCCTACAAAACCCAAACTATCCTTTCTACATGGGAGGCTAGATACCCCAGCCCCCAAAACACAGTCATCTTTATACATGACTCCTCCAATCTGTGTATCACAAGGAAGTTCAAAGGAAAATGTAATCCTCAAAATCAATGCTGGCATTAAGAACTGGAGCTAATCTTTTCAATCAACTGCTCTTGAGCTGCCTGTACAAGGCATAGGCATGGACAAGGTAAGCAGAGCCTGCACACAGGATACCCTAACAGGCTAAGATACTCAGACAACCTTCATACAACCCTTTGGGAACAGGCCCCATAAAAGATATGGCAAACCTGGTTTCAAAGACTGGCTATACAGAGAAACAGCAGGAACATTTATCCTTTCACACTGCTACCAGAATGACCTGGAACAGCTCATTTTTCAGGTTTGTAGAGAGAAAAGTCATGTTCTACATCACAAGATGAATTGCAAACCACAAGCATTTACAACAGGAAGATGACGTGCATGACATGAGGTGATAAAAATGTAAAGACAAACTGAAGAGCAGCAAGCGAAGTGGCAAAAACGAGTTGTGTCACAATGGCAAAACCCAAAATGTACTGTAAAAGGTTGTGAATTTATAAAACGTGCCACATGCAAACATGGCCAAAGACTCAATCATTGGGAGACATATCTCAGTTTGTAATTCCCATGACAGATATCAATCAGCACTGCAACAATACTCAAACTAGCAGAAGAGGAAGCAACGTTGTTGGAACCATTCCCCTGAAACTCTACCACTTAATTTCTTAATGAAACCTTTGTTGAAAAGCCTTATAATAGGCAACTCAACCTTGGCTTGCAAGCTGTCAGTCTAGTTTTGGATTACAGCAGATTTAGGGTCTCAAAGATGTATTTAGATATCCAAAATTTCCTCAGGAAACTGTGCCTTCCTCATATGCTGCTCGAATTAATCTAACTGCTGCATTAAAGGCTAACAACCTGTGTTTTAACTGACACATGGAACTCAAATTACTAGGCATCCCTCCAGACAAGGTTTAGCAAGTCACAACAGGGCTGATCAAGAGATTTCAGCACCAATTACTATAAAGGACTATGAAATGCAGTCTTTGCCCAGCATGTTTCCTTCTGTCTCTCCTTATAACTTAGTGAAGTGATGAGGCAGGGCAGGCAGACAGCAGCAGCTTTGAAGTATCCTCCAATATTTCTATGGCTCCAGAGCACACTGTTTAAATCCATTATCTCTTCTGCTCTCAGTTTTTCTGTAACCCCAAAACGTACATTCCGAACATTCAAGAGTCTGTGTTTACTCAGCACAAAGTTTTGGAGTGGATTAATGTATTCTCGCACAGCATCTGCAGCTTCAGCAAGACACCTAATTACAACAGGCACGCTGCCCAAAGGATCAAGACACTGCTCTGCTAGTGAGCAACCAGGAGGGTGATTTGCAAGTTGTTCAGCAATAAAATACCATCTCTGCTTGTTCTGCATCCTTAAAAAGCACAAGAGGGGAAGAGGGGAGACTTAGCATTTCTCTCAGCAGCACAAGAACTGCACTAGTGAGATGAATTACTGATCACAAGGGTATACCTAAGAAACAGATTCCCAAAACCCTTGATACCAAACCTTTCATGTACTTTGTGATATCTGCAACCTAAACAAGACCTCATTTCTAATGCTGCCATTCAATATTACCTTTATTAAATCCACAAATGTGATTCTGGAGAAGGCCTAGCTATGAAAGAAAATGAATATAAGAACAGACTTTAAGGTTACACAGATCAGCACGAGGACTCAAACACTGAAGGCAATCACCAACCATGTATTACTGTGTTCAAAGCCTGTTCCTTTGGAGCCATTTACTGTAAACTTTTGGTGTCTCATTTGTTTTCAAAGTGAGTCATATTTTGAAAATGCATGCTCAGTGTTGAAATCCTTTAATATTTTGTAAGTGGTTTAATTAACCTGCCACATTACCTTGGAGACAGCCCACCATGGGAACAGTTGGTAGGTGAAGTTAAGGGGCTGGTTCTGCTGCTGGAGTGCCGGGAAGGAGTCCGACCAAGGGTATTGCTGGGAGAACCCTGGCACAGATGCAGGAAGACAGGGATTAGCAGTGTGTTGCAAGACACAGAGGAATACACAACAACAGCAACAGGTCCAAATATTGTCTTTGTTTGTGCTAGACAAGCTTAGAGAAGTTTTGGTTCTTGCTCCTAACCTAAAAATCTGCAACCATGGCTCATGTAGTCAGAAATAAATTCTTGAACATACTGCTAGAGGATCGAGAAGCACATACACACTTTCCTACAATCCAAAGAAACTGTAATTTTATCTCTGCAGCATGTATGCAAACATAGCCAGAAGAATGGTTTAGCAATCCACCAAGCTACGCAGGTTCTCAGACACTATTTTCCAGGCTCCAAAGTATGCAGACCATTACCCTGGCAATTTAACAATTTAATTATGCAGCTATTTTACGCATTGTCTAACGCATTGAGATTGTGCTTGTTATGAGCATAAGCAAGCAATCCAACTTATCATTTTTCCACTGGCCTGCATAATCATTTATATTGCAGCAAAATGAGTAGAAACCGTTCCCAATTCTGACTTAACTCACACAAGAGGAAGTTAAACGAGGTAGAAGGGACTAGAGAATCCAGTCCTTTCTCCTGGAAGCTTAAAGCTGTAATTCTAGCTGACACAAAGGTCTATTTGTCTTTATGGAAGGGCAAAGATGGGAGGGTTCAAATTCCAGCAAATTTCACAAGATTTCCACATGAAAAAGACAAAAAAAATATCCTAATCCTTCCTGCTCTGAGGGGAAAAAAAGGTTTAGAAGCACAATTTAATTTTCTATTAACATATTCCCAGAGAAATTAAAATATGCAAGCGCTCTACATAAAATCAAAACAGAAGGTAACAGTTGTCAGCTGAGGAATGAGACCTGTTAGGTTCAATTAAAGATGCTGCAAGCTTTTGTAGGGACAATATATCATCAAATAAACTGATTTTAATAGTAGCAGTACACCCAGTAAATCTGAGGGATCTGAGGGCCTCTGCTTTAGCCAAAAGGTCATTACTAGCAGAATTTTCAAAAGCAGCAATGACTTGGAAAGCACAAACCCAGCGAACTTTCATGTGCTTCTCAGCTTTTTTTTTTTTTTTAACTCTACATTTGTTATGACTGTAGTAAACTTAAAAATAACTTAATTATTAGTTTTAACAACCCCTATTAAAGCAACATCAAACAGAAGCCTCTGCTGTCATATTGCTTCAAGACAACAGCTACGGGTAGTTTATGCTACTGAACATCTGCAACAGCTTATCAGGGAGCTTTAGTGCTCTGCTGTTTGCAATAACATGGGCTCTCACCACACTGGTGTTACTGGAGTTCTTGAGGTGGTTGTGCAGGAGCTTGGTAGCACCGTCCTGGAATGTTTTTGGCAAGGCACCAAGTAACATGGTAAACTCAGGAGTGTTCAGTTCAAAGAGGGAAATCAGGACGATTTGCGCTGCCTGAAAAGAAGAAAAGAAAAGATCACCGGTCTTTATTCTGAGCATGCATTCTGTTGGCAACAATCCTTATGGTAAATACATGTTCCATTAAGAAGATTCCCATATTAAACTTCTGACACATTCCTCGTCAAGCGTCACAAGGAATTACTAACTGCTATCATTACCTTTCCAGTTCTTTGAGCTTACAATACACTTTGGTGTTTGTATAATTAATTTATATCAGTAATTTCTCAGATGTGTACAGTGTACTCAGGTGTGTACTATCTCACAGCTAGTGAGAAAAACCTTATGTTCCTGTCCAGCACATATTTTCATTGAAAAGTCACTGCAAAAATGTTCAGATAAGTATGAAGAATCTAGAACAACAATTTGTCATTCCCATACTATTTATTCTAAGTGCAAAAGGGACTAAAGTTCTCTTCCCATCCCACTTCTCTTCCTAAGGATCCAACAAATTTGTTTTATCAGACAATCCCTGCTCCTGTTTTCCCACCTTTCCTTGCCTCACCATTGAGGCTGTTTTCAGCAACAGAAGTCTGGCTCAAGTGGAAGATCTATCAGGAGGGGGAGAAAAACCTTTCCCTCATCCCTAGACAGGCTAAAACCCCACCAGACTCTCTAAATTTACGGAGTGTAACCAGCAAACCACCAAAACAACTGGCAATTTCACCATTACTTCCACTGTAAAGGGTTTTGCTGTATCTGTCTGAAGAGCTGCTGGCAGAACAGGATCTCCACTAACTCCATAAGTAAACATAAAGCTCTGCACGTCCTGAACTAAGACAATGGGATAAAATGGGAATGAAAGCAGAATAAATCATCAAATACAGATCTACAAGAGTAATTAATACCACGTGTTCCTAACTAGATTTCCCCAGCAACATATAACCCATGTGGATTGCACCAATCCTGCTTCCTTCTGCCCCTGCCTTGAGAATATATGAAGATACAATACAAAAAAGTGATTATAAGGACAGTAAAAATAAAGCAGTGGTGGAGGACATCTGTAGTGCCACCTTCTCCACCTATGGTCTAGCCATTGACACACCAACATCCAGAATATGCATCTGGATACAAAGCTAACAGGCTAAGAAGTGAGGCTACTTGTGCTTTTATTTTGGAACAGCACACAAACAGGCTTAGGAAGAGCAGACACTTGTGTCTTACCCTTTGGGAACTTTCCAACATTTCCTAAAAATGAAAAATAACTTTAAAGAGAGCAAAAATATAATTCACTATTGTGGGGATAACTGTACATTCATTATTCTCATCAGCTCAAAGGAGAAGGAACTTTTAGTAAATAACGTGTTTGTAAAGTTGTGATAATTAAGTGTATCTGCAGTTCCCTGTGAAGTGGAATCTGTTAGCAGATGATGAACTTGGGTACACAGAAACCCTTTCATAGTGGAGGAGCATCAAAGCACCTCATTGTTTCAGTATACAAATTGCAGTTCAAGCTACACTGGTCCTTCTGCTCATCTGGTCACTTTGCAGCAACACAGCTTTGTGTAGAAAAACATTTTCCGTCTGTAGATCTCAAAGTTTAACAAGTAACATCCTTTCCAAATAGCCAACAAAGAAACTGAGGCACACAACACTCGACTGGCTTCCACGGACTGCAACAAACAGGTCTTCAGACTCTTCATTTCAGATAGATCACGCTGCCTCCTGCCAGAACTCCCACTGACTTGAACAGAAACACAGCACGTCATTATTCACTTCGCACTAAGATCTACAGACGAGAAGCAGGGAGATAATTTTTCCCTGTGGTTTTCTTAATCCCAGACTCTATCATCATCTGGCCTGAGTTTTGGGCAGCTCTGTCAGGAAGCTTGCATGGTATCCAACAGGCAGGTGTATTTCTGTCAGTCGTGATCAAAGAACTTTAAAGGTTTCACCAGCACACTATTTTCTGTAATAAAAATATTACTGTGAACAAGATCTCAAGATCAGCATGTTGAACTGAATACAGAGTGACAAGTCATGCCAACATACAGTCACATTTGTGAACACCATGCACATCCTGAACTGTTAGGAAATGGACATGCGGATCTTGTGTCAGAACAAGCAGATCTCACGTACATGAGGATAAAAAAGAAAAAAGAAAAAAAAAGGAAAATTGATCAAGAAGGTTCCCAGGTTTAAAAATTGCTCAAAGACTAGAATACCTGGTGATATTCTAGCAGTCAGGTGTTGCCCATGGCACAGTGAGGCAGGAAAAGATTTAAGATACCTTTGCTCCACACGTGTCATCAATGGGTTAAAAATAAGATCAACCTTGGAAAACTCCTGTGTAAAAACAGCAAAAATGGCACAAGAGCACGCGCTCTCTATAAGGCGGTATTCTGGAGGTATCCTTCCTGTGGTGTGCCAGAGGGGTCCAAAAAGCATCTCACAGACCTCTGAACAAGAATTTCACCAAAGCTCCTCCAGGGACTCTGCTCCTGTGGCTTCACGTTGAAGCAGAGGGTTACCTAACTGGTACAGGTTAGCCCTGACACAGACACCGACAGCACCAATGCCGCACTACAGGAATCGCTGAAAACTTTCAGCTCCCATCAATCAGCTCAGTTTTGTTTCACTTCTTTGTCTTGGCTGTAATGAAAACAGAACTGTGCCCACCCTCCCTCTTTGCACAGACCACAGCTTGTTTTTAGCACTGTCTGCCAGGCTGCCAGTATTTTGTGTACACTGTGCTCTTCAGTAGCTTTGTTACTGCCTGCAAGTAGGTCATTGGGCTTTGAATGGGGGGCTGCACAGTGGCTCACAACGTGCATACTCTCATGCAGCCTCAAAGCAAGCAGACCTATGGTCTATATTGTTTGAAATAAAGCCAAGGGCTACTACAGCCTGTGAGTGGTGCTCCAGTAAAGCTCTCAAAAGCAAGGGCAGAGCTATGCGGGTTAATCTTGGCTGTGTTGTTTTTAAATAGTCCTTATTTAGTATACATTATCTAGTTGATCTAGTTGAAGGGCTTTTTTTCCACTTCAAATAGCCCTTGGAGCTTTAAAATCTGTGAATTCTCAGTCTGTGACCGGTTAGAGAACATTTTCATAACCACTGGTCATTTCTGAAAATCTTGGTCCTTGTTTCACTGGATTACTGAAGGAGTAGATTAAAACACACCAGTAACAAAAATCTACTTCTGTACATAACGTACAAACACTCTCCATGCAACACTCATGCTTGATGACACATGATTTGAAGAGAGCAATACCTGAACTTCCCTTTGCCCTTGCATTCCCATACCATTACCAAGGAACACTAATCCATCTCCTTTCAGCGAGAAATAATGTAGACCCTATAGATTATCTAATCTTAACGAGGCAGCTCTCTGCTGGCTCAAGCTAGAGAAACCCCAGTAAATAGCCTGCCTGTGCTAGTGAGGGGGTCTGGCTCCATGTCAGGTTGTTGAATCATTTGCAAAGGATTGCTTATGCAACTTCATTATTTTCCTTATAACAATGCAGCAAGAGATCAGGTTCCACAAGCTGGCAACAGCTCCCAAAGTTTCATATTTATGCCAATGCAAAAGTCATGCTGTCTGACTGCCAGCTGCTGAAGGGACACAAGTGCTTTTGCAACTTGGAAGGTTTTGTTGCTGTTGTTGTTTTGCCTTTTTTAAAAATTATTTTATTAGAATCCAGTAACCTCTGCAAATTAGTTGAAATATATTAAAGACTTTTTGAAGCAGCTTGGGCTTATTATGCAGAATGATCAGGCTAACTGGAAAAATGTTAAGGGGGAATGCTGTCAGTGGCCTAAGCTTAATACAAGCACCTTATGGTTGCTGCTGCAGCTGGTCCGATAACAACCAAGCAGAATGAGCAGCTACTTGCCTAACTATTCAAAAAGTTTCAAGTTACTCAAACCTGTATCAGCGATGGGCTCACTACATTATCAGCCCCATAAAAGGGGAGGACCCCAAACTGTTGAGACAAAAACAAAAAGTAACAGAAAAACGCAAAGCCAAAAATTACTTGACACACAGACACACTTTCTTCAAGCTCCTAGTCAAGGTCTCTTTACACAGCTAGACCACTGAGACTGCAAACTAGATTAGTGTGATTAGTACACATAGCTTTTAGTCTACCTGTTTACATTTCTCTTCCAAGTTTCCTTCACCGGGCCCTGAGGAAGCTGCAGTTGTCCTAGCTGGCAAATCCTCACCTACCCAACTATGCATGGTCTGGGTTTGACAAACAGGAAAGTCGATATTATTTAAAGAAGGCATTTCAACTAAATCATCTAAACAGTACACGTGCTATGTTTTTGCAGAAGAGTTTTAATCAGTTCCTTGCTTAACCTCAAGAAACAAAAAGCATTAATATTTGATTTAACTACAGGAACATTCCTTTCAGCAGAGGGCAGCAGTGACTGAAAGTTATATTCAGCCACAATTCTCATGTTCACTGATTATCCATCCCTTAGAGCTCCTATGAGGTGTTACTTTGGCGGCTTCCGGACGACGTCCATAACTGCTTGAGAGGCCCTGCTGAGGTGCAGAGCCTCGGTGGCATGCTGCTCTGAGATGGCACCAGGGCATCCCGGGAACAGGAACCTGCATCTGCCCATGCCTATCCCTGCAGATGGGTCTCAGAGTTCAGAGCAAGATACAGTTGAGAACTTGCAAACTCCTGACTCCAGCCTGGATGTCAGCCTAATAGACCAACACTGTCTACAGACACCTTCTGTAATGTGATTAGTCTGAAGAAGGTGTGCATCTACTCACTTTTGAAAAAATATACTCTGTATGCTTTATTCATTTCATCATTCAGCCTAGGGTAAATGTGGTTTCGGTAATGTAAGGCATACTGGAACAGAGAGACACTCATGTCCCTTGGACTTACACTAATCTGCAGATCAAATATAGATCCACAAAGATCAGGAGGCAACAGAGACACATTAGGCAGCTTGTATTAGCACACGTTGGCATATGGCAATGCTTCGATCCTCTGATGAGCGCAGCTGATGTTAAGTGAGTTAATTCACTTCCACTGAGTGTTTAGGGGCTTTAAACAAGCGTTATTGAGGTGTACTTTCCAGCAGACAATTAACTGTGATTGGGCACTAAGGTAAAAAAGAATAAAAATGGCTGCCAAACAAGACCGCCTCTTTGTTCCCTTTTTGGGTCTATAATCAGATGAGAATAGCCATCCACATTACTGATATGGTAATATGAAACATCATTGTCATCAGTTTGTACATAACTCAAGCACGTTAGCTTTATTTCCAGTTTTTAAATATACAAATTCCCAAGAGATTTGTATTAGAATATGCTGTTTACATCCATATCCTGAACAGGAAGAAATTGTTTTTAACAGATTTACATATAGAATTAATATACAGATTAAATCCACACTGTTTTATACAGCACACAATATATCATGAAAGGTTTTTACAAGTCCCAGATGGTTGCATTACATGTGTCAAAGGCATCTCAAACAAGTGCCAACTAGACCTATGCAGCACTGAATCACCACATTCTCATTACAGCTGTAGGATGGATTAAGACTCCCTATGCATGTTGTTCTTCTGTCACCTGGTCACAGCAAAGACTTATAAAAATGTTCAGATTACTTCAGGAGAGCCAGATATTATCCCAGAAGTCAAGCTGATGAAGGCTACACTGAGTAACTGCTTGTTATGAAATGGCATGTGAAGTAGAAATGGGTTGAAGGAGCTCCTATGGTACACCTGGCATGATGTAGGTCTGAATTGAGAGAATGGTGAATCCCACACGTAAGCTAAGGAGGAACAAAAGTTTCTGAAGACTGTAACAAAAATACGCCCTTTAAACTGCAAGGAGTTTCAAATCCTGATTTTCAAAATAGACCTGTCACTTATACCTACATAGGTGCACATATATTTTTCTATAGATGGCACGTACACAAAAATATTTTGCCCATACACATAGTATAAGCATGAGTATTCACATCCTATGAAGCAATTTCTTACAACATCAGGCACTTACAGTTTGAAGCAAACTGAGAAAAGGGAACTACTTCTATTAAAAGCTAAGCATCAGAGGATCCTATAAGGCTGTACATATCCAAGAGATTCACTTTAAGGAAATCTAGCCCTGAAACCGTGTTTCCAACAAGCATGCCATGATTTTCTTGCAACTAATGCTGGGAAAAGCAATTTACCTTACACTGCATACACTAAAAATATTTGGGCTCTCATAGGTCTCTAGCATCAAATTCAAAACAAACAGAAAATGAGGGCTACTGTTTTGGAAACATAGTTAGGACACCAAGATCCTTTTTGTTCTAACAGCATTAAATCAAGTAAACACTGAAGTCCACCAAGTGTCAGTTTTGATACATTACACTATTTTTCCCCTAACAGCAACTAAGTTAAAATGCCTGAAAGGAGCTGCTCTTTGCATTTAGATCTTGTCTGACTTCTTTAGTCATCTCCTTTGACTAAAAGGCTCGTCTCAGAAGTACGGACACAGTCCGTAAGCCTGAGATCAAACCCTGAGGCCTGGTTCTCTGGTAACTTGATCCTTAACGGAGTCAATGAGACACGCAAGTCGTAGGCATATTGCAAAAATGCTGGAGAGCCCTCCAAGCCAGAGAGGCGAGGCCCTGCCTACTGGGGAATATTAAAACGATTTGCCATTCAAAAGCATTTGTGTAAATGCCCTCTCCGCCACTGCTACTGTAACAGGCCATGGTCAGCAGTATTCATTGCCCAACGCTTAAGGATGAATGATGCCATGTCAGCTCACCAGGAGTCTTTGGGCGTGCTTTTGCAGTGAAATTTCTGTCACAGAATTGCTTGACTCAGCCTGACACTAAATAGAAAATTCGAGCTCCAGCAGAGATTTTAGAGGTTTCGTGACATCAAGCTGCAAAGGAGTCCAATTTCATTTCCTTAGTAGTGTTTGCTTTTCTGTTGGTCGCTAGTCCTGTTATAGACACTGAAGCATTATTTTGCCCAAAGTTTCTTCAGGTTTTAGGTATTGTTTCCTTTTCAAAGTGACAATATTCAATATTTCTTGAGAAACAACATCTGGGACAACTAGTTGAAGAAATATCTGTTAGTTGTCTGAGCATATGAAGAATTTGTTGCTGTAGCTTTCTTTGAAATCTTCCTCATCTTCTAGACTAACTCAGATTCTTGACTAATCAGTTATTAAAAAAAATTGGTCCCAAACACATTTTCTTTGCACATCTCCAGACTTCACCTGCAAGCTAAGTGACAATCCAAGGACCGCCCTACTACCCCTTGGTCTGAGGGGGACTTGATCTTCATGAAAATCCAAGTAATACAAGCACTCTACTGAGCTTTTTGTTTCACTATGACACGTCTAGTTTCTTACCTAGTCCCATGCACGGTCTGTACTCAAGGGCAGCTCAGCCAAACCCAGTTATAAGGGTGACGGTTGGGGGAAAAAAAAAGTTTCCCCAGTTACGTAAGTGGAAGGCAGAACACGATGTGCACATGACACGAGGCTGCCCATAATGTGTAAAAATAAAATCAGGCTTGTAAAATAAAACTACCATATGAATGTTTCATCAACAGAGAAGCGAGGCAGGATACCTGGCACAAAGGACAATTTCTTCTTCCCTTTGATTCGAAGCCCAAATCACAATCATGCAAAAGCGATCTTGTCATTTATTAAGGGCAAGTTGATTGGCAGGACAGTGGGCAGTGGCACTGGCCCTTCACCTTGGGAGGCCTCGAACCCCTTCAACCTGTGCCAAGTCTGAACACAAAGATCCTGCACGTCCTCACAGACACCCCACCCCTCTGTGACACTGAGTGCTCGTGTTTAATAAAAACTTCTATTCACCCGAGCCCTGGACACGAGGCTTCCTTAGGCTTTGGCCTGAGTCAAATTAGAAGCCCTCATTCTGATTTCCACTCCTAAATTGATGTCTCCTTTCCAAAATCAAAGTATTTTCTCACACAGAACCCAATCCTGTAATCCAAATTCAGTAAGAATTTTACATTTATAAGGATTGCAAAATAACTTTGCTAGAAGAATTAGTGATAGCATGGTGCAGTCACTGACCATGACCATGTCATCAGACCAGTCATTAACTGGGTTACCATTTTATGCTATTTTTCTGTGTGGTAGTTAACTGGCTTTTGTAGAATGATTTCACGAAATCATATATATATATGTGTGTGTGTGTGTGTATTATATATTATATATTATTATATATTTTTAAACAAAAAGTCAACATAATTTACACCCTGTCAATAGAGAGGAAAAAAAATTCGGACACGTTTAGACACTAGTATTTAGTGTCACATAGATCTATGTCCTGCCCGATGACATGTTCTGCTCAGGGAAAAAGCAGGATTCAGCTGCATGTGTACAAATCACCAACAGGTGCTCTCACTGCATCCGAGGGCAATATTTGAAACCCATCTTAGTTTGCTGTGCAATGCAGCACAATCTGTTTCTACCTAATATCTTTTGTTTAGCATAAAGGACAAATGTCTTTCACCTTTCTTCTACTACTGTTTGCAGGAAGTGAACCTTAACTTAAACGCATGGTAAACACCCAGAAGTATTAACAATATTTAAAACAAGACAAATATTTACCTCTGACACACTGCAGATCACCTTATTTACAACTTTAACGCCTGACAATAATTTTGACCATACATAATTCACTGCTACTTTCAACAGCGTAAACGGTTTCTACCCTGAGAGGGAATCAGTACTCAGTACTCTATGTTCAGAGTACTTTTTTTTTTTTTTTTTTTTTTGGTAACAGAGTTTACATTGAGCTGGATAGATATTATTTAATATGAGAACATAAAGCACTTTATGCACAACAGCATTTCCTTTGACTAAGTTTTGTTCAGTTTGAAAAAGGTCTTTGGACTAGACGCCACTTTTTGTTCTATTTTTCGCCAGCATCATAACGCTACGGAGGGCTGGGATCTCCATGACCATCACATACAAAACAGCGATGGACACTGATACCACTAGTAGAAGGATAATCCTACTGTTGGCTGATAATATAACCCATTTCTTGAACAGATTCATTGATTGCTACCACGGGATAAAACCTGCATGACAAATTGCCACGTGCACACAATAGCCACACACTTTACATATTAATTGACAGCAATCTTTTATATATTTTGCTACTAGCACGAGCAAGCTTATTTTACCTTCTCTACTAAGGCAAAATCCAGACAGGGTAGTATGGCCACCACACACCCAAATGCTACTTGCATTAAGATAGCATTCAGTAATTTCAATCTAGGTAAGAACCACAGTGCCTGTGTGACTAAATTTCCTGTAGGAAGAGCTGCTGCCTTCACAAGCAGCTGAGCACCGGCATTGCTGTTCTATCCTCAGCTGCAGTGATATACAAGGACTAGACTATGACAGCCAAGACTGCTCAGTACCCAAAATAAAGTTGGCTCCTGTCTTTATAGGAGCTGAGTCAATTACACGGATTATCTCAAATCCGGATTCTATTGAAAAAATATTTTATAGTTGTTACAGGCCTCCTGTAGTACCTGAAACTTTGTAGTCTTAGTTGGTTCTCCTTCTACCCATGTTTAAGCTATGACAATGTTTTTAATCGCATGGCCTGCTCTGCACTTAGAGAACCTCAGACCTCGAAGGTTATCTGCAGAAATCCCTTCCAGGACAATAAATCTTCTTGATATAAAAAGCAGTACTTTTTTTCCATGTTGTTGCCTCCAAAAAGGACAATTTTAATTGTGTTCTTCAGAACATTTCACCTGTCTGGGTTAGCCCTTATAATCCTGTTCGTTACTGCATAATGAATTTATTAGTCTGTTAACTATAGTCCTGACAGAGATTATGGACAAGGATTGCTTATAAATCCTTTGTAGCAGTGTTTCTTCTAAAGCCCTTAGTTTGTACTATGCTCTTAATAAAATCATAGTACAGCAACTGTATGATGAAATAGAGGTCACCTGGGCATTCATTTTTAGTATCCTAAATTAGCCTAACTGCGCAATAATTTGAAAGCTACAGGCATCAGAGGCAAATCCAAGTCACGTGCAGACTTAATAAAGAGAATTTGGATTCAGTAATCTCTTATCAGCCCCCAAAGCCCTCCCCAGGTACTGCTCAGGTGGAGCTGGCTGGAAGTTTTTATCAGAGTTCTGCAAGTCTTTGAGACAGACAGACACTGCACTGTGAACACACACTTCCCACACCATAACTTCACAGCTAACAGCCAAATTTTCAGCTGCTGCAGATACCGTTCACTCAACTTTGCATGCAGCAATGATGACCTCTAATGGTGGAATATTTCTTCAGCTGAGAAACATGCGGAAGTTTTGCTATTTGCTTTTCAATGTATTATTCTAGTTAAATTAATTTACAACTCCCTCTTGCCTGCCACTAGCAGAGTAAACTGCTAGGGGTTTACTTGAACTGTAAAAGGGAAGAAACTGCTCTTTTGTTATTTAATTCTTTCTGACTTTGTATATGAAAATATCAAAAGGAAAATGCACATTCCAGATTTAATTCTACGAGTTAAGTCACCCTTTAAGGACTCTCTGAGACTACCTTGTAAAAACAAATTGCAGTCATGCTAGTGCAAATAAGCCCTGGAGAAAGTCTTCTAAAAAATAGATGAGACATTTTTCTCTAGATGTAACCAAATGTATGCCAGAAAGCAAAAAGCATGCACGCAAAAAGCTTCTTTGAAGTCTTGCCAGCTATCAGATAATGAATATTGAATATCCTATATATTCAATTCATATATATTCACATATATTGAATAATCAGGTGTGGTGTCTTTGATACCCAATCATCAATTAATCAGAATCAAATAATCAAAATAATTTTATTTCTAAACTTATAAAATACTAATATGCTATTCTAGTATTAATTCAATTCTAAGTGTATGTAGACCATAACATTTTCACACAATCTGTATATTCTGATATGACTTCTTCTGATTTATTTATTATTAGCTGGGGGGAATTGGAGGTAATTTTAAGTTGCTACAGATGCCAGGTACATCAAACAAGGTATCATTTTTCTCTTGGGAGAGATGAGTATCACTACATGCTCCATTTTAGCTTACCTGGCACTCGCATCTACAGCAAGGAGAAAAAAAGAACACATTAACTGTATTATCTAGGACTGACCTAAATGTGCCATTTTTTTCCAGGTTGAGATAAACAGTTTTTAAAAGAAAAGAGTTGAGAACCCTCGGCAGCTTACTGATTTGTTTAGTTTCTTTTAACAATATTGCAATGCAGAAGTTGTGCTAGGTTTCATTTCAGTCTACAAAGCACCTAAATAAACAAAAATCTATAGATATTTCCAGACTGTTCAATAAAAAGCGTATTTTTAAACCGTGACCCCTTTGTGTGGTAATAGTTAAGACAGCTGAGTACCTAACTAGAAAAAATATTTATGAAGAGATGCTTCAGAAATGTGTCTTTACTGAATAGGCAATTCAGTTTGGAAGGCAAGGTATGTACGACTCAAACCACTACCTTTATGACTTTTTTTTTTTTTTTTTTTTTTTAATTTCTTTCTCTTTTTAGAAAGAATAACTACTGCCAATACTTCAGCATTCTGACTTACCTTTCTCACATCTGAGCTCTTTGGTTCTGTTGTCCAAGTTATAATTCTAGATACAGCAAGTCTTGTCTCACTGGAGTTCACAAAGTCTGTTGGATCCATCTGTCTTGCCAAGGACTCGATATACTTCAGGATAGCAACTTTCACCTAAGAAGTGAAGATGTATTTGTTAATCCCATGAGCTGGCAAAAATAGGATTATCCTATAATAAACAGACATTGCTGCAGATTGACAAGACTTATGTCTTACTTGGGAAAAGAAATCCCTGTGCCATGTCTCCATGTCACATTTCAAAACCAAAAGCAACTTTCTACCCAGGAAAAGTTTTGTGTAGTGAGTCTGAAATGGCCTATCAGAACTGGCTTGAAATATGTCCTTTTGTGCATTTGTGTAAGCAAATCACCACGCTGTTTCCACTCGTATTGAATATTTTAAAGTTCTGCAAGGTGCCTCATGCCCATGGTTACTGTTCCAGGTGCTTCTCATGAGGCTGGAGCCTCAAAAGATTTAAACTTTGGGACATGGGAGAAAGAGCACTAGTCATTTGGCATACTGTATATTCCTGTCTCTGAAACAATTAAGTATCTTTTCCAGAGTTTACAGTGTACCTATAGCCTTGGAACAGCAACCTCTTGAAAAACAATCTGCACAACAATATCCCGTTAAGAAGATTCAGTAACAGAAAGCTCTGTTTCTTCCCCAAACCCTACATGCATTATGCATGTTCTGTGCAACAAACACTTGTTAAGGTGTGCTTAGGATCCCAGCTCTCTAGCTGTCCAGACTGAGCCTGGTCCCTGCTGTCCTGCAGGAACACGTTTCTTCCACTTTAATTATACCTGCCATGGCATACAAAAATAACCACATTTATGCTTCAGCAAAAAGGCCTGATACTGACCTTGAGGTTTGGTGTTTGGGTCTGATCCACAATAAACCTCATCAAAATGTTAAATTGTTGATCAAATGGAAAAGAATCCCTGTCCAAAGAAAACAAAGGCAAAAATGTAATGCTACACATGCTTCCAGGGCTAAATTAACTCAATACATAAAAACTTACATAACAGAGTTCAGCACCTATCATGCTTTTCTTCTTAAGTTTCCCACCTACTATTCAGAGAACCTCAAGTTTAAGGGTCACCTGATTACTCTTTTAATACTGACAAAACACTGCTAAATCAATACCTTTATATGCTGTTACTCTAACTGACTTCTGTACACTTAATCCTGTTTTTGGCACACCTGCCTATCCCCTCTTCATTTCAGGCTGTGCTTTCTTCCCTTATCTCTAGCAGCAGACTGGTTTCTCTTTCCCTCAGAGCTCCTACCTGTTTTTGATTTCTCTCTTCTTCCTTTTATCTTCTCTATCCTGTTTCCTCCTGGATAACTAACTATTCCTACTAGTACGATCTCTTCCTACTACTACTTATTCATTTATTATCTCTTTTCCTGGACAAGCTGAACTTAATTGTAACTACGTCCTTCGCCAGACATCCTTAGAAGAGGGCACAGACAACAGAACTAACTGGTGTGCAAAAAGCAGTAGTTTTCAAGGTCTTACCCTGATGTTAACACTATTGTTTGAACACACGTAAGATGCTCTGTACTTTGTGTTAAAGCACTGTTCATATTGTGAACACCGCAAACAATTATTTTCAATCAAAAAGAAAACTGATATCCAAACACATATTCAAAAAAACCCACCCACAGACTAACAAATGCAATCAGTTGCACACTTTAAGTGTTATGCTTTACAGTTATCTATCAAAAACAAAGGCCTTTCTAATTCAATGCCTTAAATATTGCGACATAATTTCGTTCTCATTTATACCGGTGTTCCTTAGGATTGAGGCCTCAAAATATATGGCTCTATGGCTTTCTAAAACATTCATCAGATGCCCTTCTATCACCCTGTAAAAAGCTACACAGTGTTTGCCATCTGAGTACTCTACCTGGTAACATCCAGAGCTTTTTGCACTTTTGCCTGCACAGACCCCAGCAAATCTGCTCCCATTTTCTTTAGCAACTGTGTCAGGAGAACAAAAAGCCAATCCTGCAAGTCATCTTTATGAATGATGATGAAATCAACCAGGGTTTCCAGAAACATGCTGAAGACCTATGAAAAAAACAACTGTCACAAAAAGGAAGGCTGTGCTTCAAATAGAAAATAATCAAAGGAGAGGGATTTAAAATACGAGTTGCAGAATGATTGTTATAGACAGTTTCATGAATGAATGATTTTAGTGACTACATTTTTCTGAAAAAAGAGACAATACACATCTAGAATGTGCTGTATTAAAATACCACATGAAACAAATGAAGAAAGAGGGTAGAATACACTTACTCTCTGTTGTGAATTCCACGGCAAAGCAGGCCATGCAACAAAACAAACCACTCGTTAGCACGCAGTGATCAAACACGATTGTTCAGATGCAATTTGTCAACATAAAAGATGCATTCATCGAGAGTTCACATTTTCTTAATACAAAGTACCTTCTCAGAGTTATTTAAAACATTATATACCTTGGATCAGGATACTTTCCTCTCATGAAAAGTAATGCCTTTAAAGTCAACAAGTCAGGAGAACTTGGGGGCTTTGTACAATTGTATACCCTTCTCCACTCTTTACCAAGTCCTTTCCCACTTCCCAGTTTATTCTGACTTCCAAGACACCCGTTCCACATATGTCACCTCAAATACAGAGTTCAGAAAGCATAGTGGGCAGAAATGAACCCTGAATTTATAGCAAAGGACTAAACTCTGACTTCAGTTATATTGAAGAAATTTAGTGGCTGATATTTACACTTAAAACTAATGTATTTGCAGCAGTAATTCTATAAAGGCAGTGAAGATGAGAGATCACCGCTGTCACATAGCACATATATTGGTCAAATGTGTAATAAACCACCACCTTATCTATAAATGGGAAGTATTTTGCAAACAAATAACTATGGGTCTGAACAAGGCTATGGGCCCACCTTCTCCATTCTCTAACCTACTTCTTTCTAAAAAATGCCTGTCAATTCCGGGCAAAGCCTTCAACTTCAAAGGACAATGTTTTAAAGAAGGCAAAGTGTGCATATTGCTGTTATTTTAAAATAAATAAAACTAATCCAAAACAACATCTTGATGAGAATCCATACTGCTCGCAGGTATTATACAAACCCCAGAGGACAAGATGCTTAACTATGGTTTATTACCTTTTAGACCTCACCCTATTGCGTACCACCAAGAAAATCCCTAGAGAAGTACAGATAAAACTGAACCTCCCACTTAAGGAGCAACACCCGAAAGGCATTAAGTTTTTTTGGGGAGCACGGAGTAAGATGTTCTTAGCAAGAGGAGACAGATCGAGACACTTGCCTTCAGAGTAAAACAGAAAAAAACTCAAATTTATAAATGCCAGTTTTCCCCAGCAGATGGCAGGGGTAGAAATAAAGAATATTCATCTTAGAACGATGTAAAACATAGACACATGCTAAGTCAAGAGAATGAGCCAGCCTTTGTGATCTTACCTTGCTGTGAGGGTCAGCAAACATGCGAGTAAATATTTCACATAGCCTTTTTAACTCGACTCGGCTAAAATAAATAATAAGACAATAATATTAATGATAAAGTTCTAGTTACCAAAAATAGCTAATAAATAGTAACAGCTGAAATATCTAATTCTGTTTGTTTAAACATTACTTAAGTCACACTTCTAAAAACCCTCTATCTAGGTGAAGCCTTAACTGGCATTCCACCTGCTGTGATCACCAGGGTTATGACAAGAAATGCAATGAACATGTTTTAAACTCAGGAAGCCAGGCACTTTATTTTCTGTTGCTTCCATTTTCTTCTATAGTCTGTATTGCAGAAGACAACTTGAAAAGAGAGTACTTGGGAGACATTTTCTTTCTGCATATATCAAGGTTGCTAATGCACAGAAAAACTGTGCTTTTGCAGCTTAGGAATAGGTTTGTCAGGCTTCCTTTCTGTCAGGTATTTCAATTTTTCAAGTGAAACCAGAACTTCCATGCTATTTGGGTATATACTAATCATATATATTTTGGTAATTCTCAGTAGCTTCAATGAAATCGGTCTAGAATTGCATTGTATTAACAGAATTGACTCCAGAGACTGAGAGTAGACAAATATATAGAAATTGAAGACAATCTATCAAGTAGGCAACCTACTAAATCAGAAGATCATTAAACTTACTTTACTATTAGTAGGAGATAGGTGCTCAGTAATACTCTTTTTATACAATTAGTAAAGAGTCGTCTATTTGTAAGGTACCACGCTTGAGTCAAATGCAAAACTGCTGCCACAGCTCTTATTAGCAATGTATTGAAAAACACAAGTCCTACTCTTGCTGCAATGCAAACTGCCAAAGAATGTCAAAATTTTGCTTGTTTACTGTTCAAATGAAAACAGAGCAATAAGGTAACATTTCCTGCATACCATGGATGTGATTAGGTATTTTTCGCAACTACTGTGAAACAGAGTAACTACTGAAATGCACACTGATTGCTCAGAGGAGAGCTGCTTAGATAGTGATTATATATACCTTCCTTCCAGAAAGATGTTAATTTACATTTCACCTATATATTTTCAGATATATATAGCCAGAATGTGAATAGTTTATAACTGTTTCATGTTAGCTTGTTTATAGTAATAAGTTGTTACTGTAAACTATGATAGCACTTTACAGCATAGCAATATATTTTTCAAATAGATTTGTGTGTGAAAGTCTAATCAAATTTAAAAATGGCACAAAGACAATGGTCTGCCCAAGAGCTTGATGTAAAGAAAAAGTCCTCGTAACGATGCCAAAGCAAGCTGTCAGCTTCATTCAGGATGAGACTGCACTGCCTCTAAACAACTGCCCTGCCATGCTGTCTTCATGCAGACTGCTGTTCTCAGAATGAACTATTTATTACTTTAATGAAATTTCTTTGGGGACAAGGGTTATATGAAGACCGCATGTGTAAGCATCTGTCCTACAAAATCTTGCTGAGGTGACAAAGCAAGCGCTAAACTAAAACAAGCAGTGGAAGAACATTTCCTTAAGGGACTTGTTGGCCTTGTGTTGTTCGGAAGGCCTGGCTGGGGAACCCTCAGAGAACTAGGCCACACGAAGCCGTATGAAGCAATGAGGATAGGTGTGTGCTTTGCAAGCTCATCTTTCTGGATATATAATTCACTGCTAACACAGGATCCTTCAGATCCGAGTACTAAAGAAAACCTAGCCACATCACTGCTTTATGTTAAATTTGTTATACCACAACAGACGATACCAGGTTTAATTAAAGACAGACAGACTTGCCACTTGGACTAATGACCTTGGTGATGTTCTCCATGATGCCGTGAGAACACGATGAAGCAATCTGATCATTAGTACAGACACCAAAACAACCCTGAGCCAAGGTGTAAGCAGAACAAAAGCAAACTGAAAGGAAATATAAAGAACTAAAAACAGTATCAAATTTTCAAAAAAAAAAAATAACTCTGCAGGGTGTAGTTTCTGGGAAAGGTTTATAACTATTCAGGATTGATGCCAAGAAAACTCGCTAGCTTAAGGGACTAGTGACAGCAGCACAGTTCAAACACTGCAACCAGCACAAATGAAAACAACAGTTCAGTTCTATTGGCATTTCTGCTAAGAATTACTAATGTGGATAAACAGTCCATCGCCCAATCTTCTCAGCATTTCCTGCCTCGGAATTATCACCCAACACATACAAAGCTTTGGTTATTCTCTTGCACTTCTGTGGCAAAAAAAGAATCTCACCCCACTTTTTCATGCAAGTATATGAGGTGCCACAGTTTTTTCAGACAGCTTGTTAAAAACAAAGTAAAAAGAAAAAAGACAGCATTAATGTAGGAAGTATTTTTTAAAATACTCATAAACAGACCACATCAAAAGGCATCTCTGACCTAAGAATTCTAACTACCATTTTAAAAACCTGAAGCGCTTCCCACTTACGGACTGCATCACATCATGTGAAGTGCTAGAATGTATTTATGATGGCAGGAGAATAACCTTTCCAGACTAGCTCTCAGTGCATTTTTATTCAGCCTGTTAACAAAGGCTGTAAAATATTTTCATCTACTGTGAAGACCTTTTAAAATTGAAACAATTGGACAAATCTAAGAAGGTAGGCAGTAAGCTATTCGACAATCATTTATAAACTTGGTCATAATTTAAGTTTTATATAAAAAACATATTAAGTTTATAATATTCATAACAAAAATTAAAGTGTCAGAGCTATTTGTGAATGCTATCTTCAAGGGAGCCAAAAGAAGCAACTTGTTTCCAAATTCTTTCACCATAAATTTAAGAGTAAGAAGTCTGTAGCATGAAAGCCAGTTAGTTGATGTGATTTGCTGTCTATAGCTAGCATGACACGGCTGTGTGAAGTTTCCCTATGACTACTGCGTAATTCTAAGATCTGTTTTAATGGGTGACGTGCCAAAGGTGTTTGAAGGGTTTATTTGGCTTTCTACAAGGTCAAATGTCTCTCTCTCCTACTACAGTTTCAGAGTTGGTACACCTACTTCATTGCCTTAAGAATCTTCCCTCTACATTGTAAATTACACCATTTACAGGAGACTCAAGCTTCTGATATAAGATTTTTCAAGAGTTACAAATAATTAAACCTGATGTGCTCACAAAGAGTCACAAATAATTATGCCTAACTCAGCCCTCATAAAGAGCCAAAGAACACCCAACACACTGAGAACATCATTTGATCTCATCTTTGAAATACACACACCCTGAGTGGTTTTTAGAATAATGAAGTGTTTGCTTCACCAACTAGGCTGCTGGGAAAGAAAATTTACTGAAGATTCAAATGGTCTAATGTAAAAATAGTACCACCCTTGGAGTAAATTTACATTGCCATCATTGTGGGAAATCTCACTGTGCCGCAACAAACAGGAGGCAGAAGGCAGAAGCATAGAAAACCATATGCCCGAGTCCCATCTACATTACTACTACAAATTTCACACAAACAGTAGTGATGACAGCTAAATTCTTTCTGAAAGTAATTAACTCCCACACTGTGGAGACAGCTTTCACAGCTGTTAAAGGTGCTATGTCTACACGAGGCAAGTACATATACTGACTTCTGGCTATAGCCATCTCCCTAGAATGACAGACAATACAAAGCTACAAAGGTCACCTCAGCGTCCGCTGGCTTTTCAGTAAGTTCTGAAGACCTATGAGCCCCTCCTTCCTTTCAGACCAGTTGGAGCTGGCACAGTGGTTCAGGACCTCAGCCACATCTTCAGTCTGCCGCAGGTAGTGAGGAATGCCCCCGTTCCTGGAACCATAGGAGCGCTCGGAGCAAGCACTTGATGCATCACTGTTAGCGTCATCGTCTGAGTACATCCCATAGGGTTCATATCTTCTTCTCACAGGCTTTTTCTGGAAGAGGGGAAACTCAGTGTAAGTAAATTATATATAATTACACCAATTCCCGATGAAAAGTGTTCTATCTATAACCACTAACAAAGGAAGATTAATGCTATTGTTATAGTGGCATACATGTATATAGATAGATGTCACCGAGCACTGCCTGCTTACCTCTCTCAGTAGAGCAAGACAGATCCCAGTGATTTCAGTGAGAATATTAAAATGAATGGGGGAGCAAGGACTGCCTTCCCCAGCACAAGATACTTATGCCCAGCGGAATTAGCTACAAGTAATGAAACATGTTGTTTTATTGTAAATAAAGGTCAGTTTCATTGTTACAGGTTGTGACCATACAATCTCTATTTCAAGAAAAAAGATAAGGAAGAAAAAGCTGAAGGAATCTGTGCTGGCATGCACAGTCACTTTGATATTGATAATGAAGTGACTCTAGAAATGCACTGGGATACAGGCCATCGCAATTCTCTGTTAGTTTGGGCAAGATTGTTTGTTTTTTTTGTTTGTTTGTTTGTTTTTTAAACAGAGGTTCCTAAGGGAGTTGAGTAATCAAATCCCACTCATTTCCATAGCATGGCATAAGGGGACCTAATTCCCTTAGGTACCATCTTGAACAACCTCAGTACTTACAGAATGGATGTTACAGTAATTTTGATAGCAAAACAAATTGTATACTACAAAGTAAACTCTTAAGTGAACCTTGACAGAACAGGATTGATACAACCATGTATCAGAGAAGATTGCCTATATTCTACAGTGTTTGCTACAGAATTCCTTCCAGTGTCCAGTCCTGCAGTTCTCAGACTTGTGAAGCCAGCAGAGTTTTGCTTCCACTAGGACTGCAGGAATGAAGCGTAGAAATTAACTCAAGTGCAGTATCATGGGTGTTAGCAACAGGCTGGGGAAAGTTTGAAAGTAGAAATAAAAAGTCAAGAAAGCACTAGTACCTTGCTCCTGGAGTCTCCTAACAGCTGTAGAGGCAGGAAAATATTGAAGGGTGGGAAAAAGCATAGAGAATTATGTCAGAAGCTTATGTAGGGTTTTTGTTTTTGCAACAAAAATGTATAGCAAATGTGTCTTAGCAAATTAAAAAAAACACAGTTTACGCAAAATAAAAGTGGGTATAATAACGCCTGGCATTATTTCCTATCTGCTGCACTAACACATACATCCTACAGTTTCAATTAGAGAGCTTGGAAGTGAAATTATCTGTTAATAAGTTTCAGATGGCAGATCTAAACACAGCACCTCTCTGCCTGCTTTTCAGAAACGTTGCTCCTGAAAGATACCAGTTTTGGGGAGTGATTTATTTCCCTACACGTTATCGCTAGCTTTAGATTTTAGAATCTTAAAGAAATTCTGATGTCAAGGAACCACTATCTACAATACAGCACATTTAATCAACTTCACTTAACCAGATTCTCTTTCAACCCACAGTTCTTACACTACACTTTTTTTGAAGCTTAGCTCTTTTAAAGACAACCTGGCTGGCACCAGTGACTTAAAGGCCTTAACGCCGAAATTTCCATCACCCTTTGAGCTTTTCTGACAGATCTGAGCACTGATTCACAGTATAGACAGTGTGCTTTTAGGCCAAGTCCAGCTCTTGAACAGAAGCAGTGGATCCAATGAGAACTGTAATGCATGGAGCAGAGGTCATAGATTGACCTGCTGTGTGCTTTGTTTAAACTTGAGTATTTGGCCAAGGCCATCTCTGGAGAAGTTCTTTTCACTTCCTACTGGAGGAAAAATAATACTTGTCTGAGAACAAGGCTCCTGGGTAAAAGCTGGCACCACACTATTCTCTCTAAAGGAGCCCAAAAACAGCTCTGTAAATTGCCTGTTGAGAGAAGACAACTAAGGAAAAACAAATTGGGGTGGTGGGAAAGAAGGGGTAAATAAGATCGTATCGCATCCCCTAAGATCACACCAATTCAGACTTATCAGCCAAGGTAACAGAACTACTTACTGTCCAGCTAGACTCAAAGCTTTTCCTTCTAAATGTTTAACTCTTTAATTATGCTCTGAAAAACTACAGTGGCAAATTTGAGGTGCTGAGAGCAGAAACTGACTCACAAGCTGCTGAATTTGGTAATGAAAATGCCCAGCTAACGATTTAACCCCCTAGAAGTAACAGAACCATCTATGATATGCTGTCCTAACTCTGCATGATTCACAAGCACTGTTTTATTCTTATGGAAGGAGATTTATTTATTTTTAAAGACACTTGTCTGAGTACTCTAATAATACTCTAGAAAAGGAAGCGACGTGAGCTGGTTGACAATCAAATACAAAAAGGCAAATGATGTTAGCCATCATTAGAGAAAGTAAACTAAGAAATGGAGAAAAAAGAGCATCTTTCACAAACTATGGGGCAATGTTTTTTTTTCTTGAGGGAAGATTTGAGGTATCTGCCTTGGATACACCAGGAAATACTTCCCTCAGCTCAGGTCTAGAGCTGAGGAAGACCCAAGGTACACTGGTACCCGGACAATCCTGTAGAATAATTGCGCCTGCCTCTATACATTCTCTTTCCCCCAAGACAAATGCAAAGGCTTGTGATAACACCCATCTTCGGAAGAGCAGAATACATTTTCTGGGTTCTGCCCAAGAGATTTTATACTACAATAAGATTATACAGGACAATAAAAGTTAAAAAATAGTAATAAATCACCAAATGTTTAGAACCACTGGCAGCACACTACACAAACACACTTCAGTTTAACTGCATGAGATGGTACCAGTTACAGGCAAGCCAAGCTATGAGCCAGGTGCAAGTAACAGAGCAGGAAGTGGCAGAGCTCTCAACTTTTCTTGAAACCGAATCCATAATTGACACTAGAAGAGAACACTGCGTTTTCCAGACAAAATCCTCATGCGGTTAATGACATTAATGCAAATCCCTTCACCACAGGCGCTGAGCACTCCTATGTTGCTGCATACGTCTTCCGACAGCAAAGTTAAAGCCAAACAGCTGACTCAACCCATCCCGCAGCTCCAGCATTGAGCCTCGTCAGTCTGTTTGTTAACTGCGAAGAACTGAGGTGGAACGAGGAAACGAATGCTGCTGCCAATATACCCAAACACGACACAACACAAGGTAACTAACTCTACAGCATCAGACACTGGCACATTCAGAACAAAGCTACTTAGAAAGAGGAGAACGTACGTACAGGTAACTTTAAGCCACTTTCCGGTGTCGGAAGCATTTTGTATTTTTCCTCTTACCAGTGCATCAGCCACAGCAGCCTCCAGATCTGTGCTTGTGCTCAGGACTCGCATGGCATTCACAGAAGCAGGCATCCTGCCTGGCTGTCCGAGTCCAAACCGGTCTGCACAAAAGACAACATTGAAAGGGACTGTTAAATGAATTCACATTCACTTGGAATCCTAATCAGGTGTCTGAGCAGCACTACCCAAAGGCTCTGGGAACTCTCAGTGCTTTTTCATTAAAGACTCTTTTATCCACAACTCTACGGAGTCTGCCATGACAGTAAGAAATAAACTATTGTTTGGTGGGTCCCAGAGACAATTCCAGGTCCTCGGGGCATGTCTTTTTTTTTCTTTTTCTTTTTTATTTTTTTTAAGCTGGGAAGAAGGGTATCTATTTTGTGTTTCCTTTTAATAGAAGTTGTTTCAGTTTTATTTTAATGTCGGAGGCAGACATGCAGGTCCCAGTCTGGCTCTCTGAGAAATGAACAGAAGACTTCTCATTAACTTCAGAGGAACAGAATCGTGCCCGGTGTCAGGACATGTTAATACCAGAGCACTCATCCATCCTGCAGCTTTTTCTCAGGCAAGGACGTGAGATTAGCAGCTGCAGATTAGCCTATCTTATGTTGTAAGGCTTGATTAACCAGTAGAATATCACCCTATGTCCCCCAGAATAAAAATAAAAGGTTTATTATTTGTTTGTGAAGTGACTCCAATTTTTGTTTTATTACTGTTCTGGAGAAGCAGCTTAAATGTACATTGGACTGAAATACAATTTTGAAGTTTTATGACAAACCAAAACTGATTTTTTTTTTTCTAATCAAACAATACCATCTTTCTCCCCTTGAATTTGATGGCAAAGCTCTCAATGGCATCCAAAGCAACAGGATGGGGTCTGAAGTGCCATTTACGTTCCCAGTATTAATTAGCTTACTCATCATTTGCCCAGAGTCTGAGAGAAATGTTACTGAAATGAGTATATTTGAGCAAAAGCCAAATTCAGAAAGCCATCACTAGCAGGGACATGGCAGAATCAGCGACTTGAGGATCACAGGGCAGGCTCTGTCCGCGTGGCACTTGCAAATTACAGGAGATGAGATGCACTGTTTCTGGATTCCTGGCTCATCTATAACCAGAAAGAGATGGTTTTCAGCAGTTTTTGCTTCTACCAGGGGCTGTCTTTGCTTACTCCTTCTGGGACACACCTAACCCTTATCCCCTGCCAATAAAGAGTTTTGCCAGCAATTTCAGAGGTGAACAAATCAAGACCTTCAGCTGACCCACACTGACTGCAGTCATCAAGCAGACAGAGAGAGGGATCAAGTCTCTTAGGTCTTTTATTAGTTCATCTATATTTAATTTTATGAAGGAAAATGACTGTTTCTTAAGATACGTAACTAATTGTGGGTTTCCACAAGAATGAACATTATATTCAGCAGCTCACTGTATTTATTTTCAAAAACTTATCACAAAGCATGAAGCTTTGTGTTAAGACAACGCTCTTTAGAAGCCTACTGCACTGAGATCTCTTAGGGAAATCAGCTCATACTGACCTGCATCAGTTAAATCTGAGACTGAAGCTTGCCAGTCTCCCATCCTAACTTTAAATCTGTACCTGAGTATGTCAGAGCAAGGATTAAGCTACTGAGGGGAAAATAAGAAAGATTTGATAAACCTAAAATATTTTACTGAGAAAAAAAAATGTAGATTAGCATGTATTTCAGAAACATTAGCAAAACTTACTGTTTCCCAGCTATGCAACCAGACAAGACATTTCTGATTTACAACAAAAGCACATTTTCTACAAAACACATTACAAGAGGGAAAAAAAGAACAAAACCAAAAACAAACATCTTAAAACTACTGCCAAAAAAGTAATCAAATCATGACATTTCACAAAGAAATAAAAGTTGTGTGTGTTATTACTATCCCCTTTTTTAATGCACTTGGGTTGAAGATTGTTTCCAATGTTTAGTTGAAACAGCACTTCATCCCTAACATGGAAAGATCTGTATACTCTTAATGGAAGCACAGAGAACATGGCAATGCATTAAGTCAGACTGAAGCTGAAGTCACTGCTACAGAGATAAATACTATAACAATGTAGAGAAGACAAGTATTTTCCTAAGTGCAAATTACAACTGGTATAGTATGAGGGCTGCAAAGTTCTGGACTCAGTTTTATGTTTAAACCCAACTCGATGGCATTACTCAAGTCGTTCTGAGATCAGAATTTGGCTTTATAGCTTTGAAGTAATGTAGCATCATATAATACCATTGTTACTTGTTTTCATGTTAATTTAGCATTACATTAGAAAAGGGAAGATAGTTTGTTTTTCTGTTGTTTTGGTTTTTAAATGAAGAACAGAATGACAAAGTAATTCAATTGTAGATCAGTTTAAATACCCAGCACAAAATAAAATGAAGCTGTTTAATCAAATTGAGTGAGTATAATATGGCATGCTGACTTTTATCTGACCCCATAGCTATCAGGATTTTTTTTTTTTTTTATACATCTTTCAGTGATCTTTAAATTCATAACACCCAAAGTCACCCTGGGGTTCTCCCACACTGCTGCCACACCTGAATGCAGGAATTAGATCTTAGGAGGGACCTCAGCATATCTCTAACATAGGGATGGGGACACATTTGACTCCAGGAATAACCAGAATAGGCAAGCCCAATGTTAATGTCAAGAAATAAGCTGGGCAGTGTGAGCTCTGACCACATTTGCTTGTCTCCCTAGCTAGATTAATTACACTTGTTACTTGGTGAAAAATCACAAACTTTTTTTTTCCCCCCTGAATTTGCCACTTCTAGGGAGATTTGGGCCTACTTTAGGCCAAAGATGACTGTATATATAATGTTATCATGCTTTATACCAAACCACAGGAGCCAGGCATGAAGTGATTATCATAGGAAGTTGAATGTAAAAAAGCTTAAGCTTATATCTGTATCAGAATTGAGGGTCTTTTTTTACTCTTCAGTGCTATTTTATTAAATACAAATTCTAATTGCCGCTTTGAAAAATGCAAGAGTCAAATCTGCTTGCATCATTTCTGCAGTTACCTGATAAGATAAACGTTTTGAAAGATGTTTTGAAAGTTTTAGTTAATTGACAGCAATTTAACTGCACTTAAGAGAAACAGAACATTTTTCACTCCCTACCTGAGGGGGGTTAATTAAATAACTTTTACTGTCACTAATTCCTTTTGCAATTTTAGCATCCGAGCAAACACTGAAGCCCTCATTCATCTTCTACACCATCTTTGTCCCCACAGTTAAGTTTCTATTGACCCCAAACTAGCAGCCCTCATTAATTTACCTTTAAGACTTCTAGTGAAATACCATGATTTCAAGGGAGCTTCAGGAACTGCACAACTGCAAATCCAGCACTAGGGTGGGGAACAAGGCAACTGGAATCTGCAGATTTTTCTCATTATATCTATGCATTAACCTCCAGATGCAGTGCCCCATGAAATTAATGGAAGTATTTTTCCCCACAGCTTCCATGCTCTTTGGATAAGGTCTTCAGTATTATGTGGAGGATGGATCATGTGTTATGCTCCAAAGTTCATTTTGAAAGCTCGTCAGGTGCTTAATTCTTGCTGCTTTTGTGAATTTTGGACAGGATCCTGCAAAGCACTTCCATTAACAGAGACAGGAGTCTGAAAATTTTCATAATAAATGGGTTAAGACCCATTGGGATCCAGTCTTAAACACTGGGAACTGCTACACTGCTCAAGAGGAAATATAAACATAAATTGCAAGGACTCTGCATCATTCAGGATTTAGCCCATGCTATATAACTGATCCAATTTACAGGAGAATTGAGAAAGCCCTGGATGATCACCCTTTGTTTAAACACTGCTCACAATGTTCCTAAAATACACAAAATTAAAAAACACTCAATAAAAGAAATTCAAAAGAAAAAGTCACGTTGAACAGAACAGAACAGAAAGCCTCACAGCGGTGAGAAGCACATGCCAAGTGCTGGCTGATGCACATGACAGCAAATGTTAAAATGGTGTAAAACAAGACTACATATAAGAAGCAGAGTCATGCAGTTAGCGCTTGTTCACCTGACTGCCCAACAGAATCAGCAGTGGAGAGAGCACTAGTGGACCTGGAATGACGTCGAGAAGCTGCAAGTAGAAGGAATGGCAACACCCACAGGATTAACATACATTTAACCCAAGACAGAAAATGCCACAATCCAAGGGGGATGCAAGTGACCACTACCAGTAAACGTGTCTCGTAGCGACAGGGAAATGACGCTGTATATGAATGCATAACAGATATAGTGCAAGCCCCACAGTGATACCTCCGTCTGTAGCTTCTCCTCCCTCTCCCCCATGACCATAAACACGATGCATGACAAAACTCATTTGTAACAGTCCCAAACCCGCTGCAGTTCAGCAAAGAAAACCAGTGTGCATCAGTCCCATTCCAGAAGCACAGGTCTGGAAGAGGACACCATGAGAACGTGGAGCATATAACCACAGAGCAGGATTTAGATTTGTCTGATCTAAACCCCACAGTGAAGCCATGATAAATGATTAGAAATTGTGCTTGCAGCATTTTTCCAAAACACTGGAGCCTGTGCACAAGAAAACAACTTTTACAAAGAGAACAAATAACCACAGAAGTAGGAAGAGTGCAAGGAGTCATACAGGGAGGCCACTCAACCACTGCCCATTAGGTGCTTTGGTTTGGGCTTTTTTTTTTTTTTTTCCTTCAAGTAAACATTCATACTATAGCTGTTGCTACTACCGATGGTCTCTTGCTTTAACAAATTTTGCATATTGTTTTCTTTATTCTAATTATATACCTATGTGCCTACACAGATATTGATCAGAACACGCACATGGGAGCATCTAGAATCACCCCGTTTGTGAACAAACTGTTAACAGCAACAGAACAGGCAGTAGCACAAAAGCTGAAGCCAAACACAGCTCCCACTTCAATTCCCAACTGTCAGCAGCAATGAATCACAAAATGCCTTTGGAGAGATTGTCAGTTCTTGGATTCAGAATAAAGGTGAGATACTTATGAAGGCAAATGGGAAGCCCAGCCATTTCTGAATTTCAGCAATTTAGCTTCTCAAAAAAGTTTTTGCCTGTGTCTAGCAATGAGATGCTCACTTAACGCAAAGCAACTGACCCAAGAAACTCTGCCCGTGTGAGCAGTTTGTCATCAGACTCACTGGAGGCCTTGGTGCTTTAACATCATGACTAATACTGTCAAGAAACTGAAAAAATGAACCCAAATCACCATGTAATACAAATAAGATTTGTCAGTAGTGCATATACATGTGCAATAGAAAAGGTGTAATGCAAAGCATCTGCAAAGAAATACTAATATAATATGAAAGAGAAATTAGCAACATGAGAAAATTCAAGGTCTCTCCCAGCTGTGACAGCTTGGCTAAGAGCTCTACACAATATGCAATGTGGTCTTTAAATATGTAGAACACATGCGTTTATTCAAGAGAATGATCCCGCTGACACTGTAAGTTAAGGAACTTTTCCAGGATCAGTGCCGGATTACAGACTGAACCTCACAAGCAGAACTCTGAGCTTGCGATTGCTTTCTTCTGCGCCATCCAACTGTGCCTCTGTGGCTGTCACTGCAAGATCAAGGCCCAAGAAGGAAGAGCCATAATAAAATAAAAATTAAAAAATCACATCTCTGCAAGGAGACTCAGTGTACAGTGACTCTTCGCTGGTGCTTCCTAACTTCAGAAGCAACGTGTTTGGTGCTTAGCCATGCCTGTTTGCACAGCAGACTTGAAAACAAGCAATTTGCAAGGCCAGGATGTCAGTGTTGACACTGATCATAATAGTGCTAACTGCAAGAATACTGTCATTTACATATAACTAGCTTAAGTATAATTCACTTACATAAAGTTAATCTTATATTATTTCAGCATTAACATCAGATGAACTGGATTCTAAAAATATTGTAGTGGAATCGTCCTGTTTTAGCTGAAATTGCTATATATACACACACATTTCTTTGAGATGAATTACAAGTTACAAAATTAAGCTGACATACATTTAAGCTTGCAGCATTACAATGAAAACACAAGAAAAAAAGACAGCAGGATAACAACAATACTGGCATAATATTGTATTGATACTTTCTCCCCACTTTCAATCCTCCCTTCCATTAATTATTTCTCTAACATCTGCATTTCTAAAAATGCAATCATCTTCAGATAATTAAATATCATTAGTTAAAAATGAAATGCTCCTCCTCCCACAACGAAATTTGTTGCAACCACTGTAATAGACGTCTGCAACTGAAATTTCATACTCAGTGTACAAGTCAGACCCCGTGGTGCACCAAATTCACACCAAGTGTGATTCTGGTACACTGCATTTATTTTTCAGAGCAAGGGCCCAGAAGACTGTATCTCAATTAATGTATTTTCACTAATATAGAAGAGAGACAGTACAATAATAGAATATTAACAAGTTAACCCTGAAATCCACATGCCTACACACACACTGGGTGAAGAAAACAGCCTCATTGAAACAAGACAGGTAACTATAAAAACAAGCATATTTACCACCCCTTCATGGCTCTGGTATTAAATCAGCTTCATTTAATCAATAAAAATTAATTAATCTACCAAAAAGAGCTATGAATGAAGTTCTTGGTACTACTCCACTCATTTCTCAACAAAAATTGTGATAAATGCAGATAAAGCAAATCGATTTCATAGCTCAATAGATAAAATGAAGTTTTGAACCCAAAAGCCTCTGGAAAATTCCACTCTACATCACTGAAGTCAATGGGAATTTTGCCAATGATTTCATATGGATGAAGACAATGAGCCTCTCCACTGATAGCATTTGAAGTTGAGATGAATACATGAATGACAACAGCTATGTATATTTTAAAAATTATGCAAAATACAGAATATTTAATTATGAGAACCAAATTGGAAATTTTTGTCCATCTATTCATATTTTCATAACCTTTTCTATTTGATTTGTTGGAGAATTAGGCCCAAAATGCTACCTAGACATTACTTCTTATAGCTGTATTTTGTCACTGTGCAAAATAAATCTTGTAATAAATTCTTCAATCTTGACCACATCTCTAAGAGCTTCTTTCTCACTTTTAATACCACATGCACATCTATGAAATTACTACGTAAAGGAAAAGGGCCTGGAGATAAACTACAGTTCATTATGTCTGAGATGACAAATATTTCGTACAACAAGCAATGTATTTGGTTGAATATATGTGATATGATATTTGATCAGAAACATTAACTATTCTGTTTTCAGCCCTGTGCAGAATAAAACTTCTGCATATGTTAAGTGTAATGAGATTTTCTATTTGTACTGTACACTTAAGCTGCATGATGATGCTCCTTTAAAACTTCATCTTTTCCATGATTTTAGTGTGCTTGAAGGCTTCCTGCACATGCAACTTGTTAAATTCATGATTGACGTTGTATAAAACATCTACAAAAAAAGAGCTTCTACCTCTTTATTGTAGGATTACTAAATTCTAATAATAGAAATGAAACTTTTGCTGTACTTAGCTTTAAGAAAACCAGATCATGAATAAATTTACCCAACAATAGACTATGATGCTACTGACTACTTCACTGTGACCTAGAAAATAAAGGCTTGCTCTCCCACAGATTACCATCAGCGCTGTAAAGTGAAGCAGAGCAGCACCACACAAACTGATTTAATGAAATTGAAAAATACAATTCAGGCTAAACTATTTTCATTCTAACCATAAAATACTGCGAATCAGAACCGAAGCATGCAGAAGAAAACAGAAGGGAAACAGGGTTGGAAAAAGGGATTGTGTCAGGAATCCAACAGAGGACAGAAAACAAGCTCATTCCACCTGGCAGTGTCTTGAAAGGGCAATAAGAACAAGGGAGGGAGGAAAGGAAAAAAAATTGACCCTTAGAGCTCCAATGCCTACGTGTACTCACCAAGTGGAGGAAAGCCCCGAGCAGGGCTTGTATCTCGACTGCTCTCACGGCTGGTATCGCGGCTGCACCCCTGACTCATGCTGGGTCGGGGGATACGACTGCTCCGTGCTAGCATGCAGCATGGAGAGTTTCAGAGAAGGTGAACAAGTTTAATGAGGACAGAAAAGCTCAAAGTCAAGTCACATTTCTGTTAGTTATGGTAATTATTACATTAGTAATTATCACTTGCAGCAGCCAGCTCAGGCCCTTACAAACCAACTACGTTACATGCTGAGCTGTGTTTGTAAGGTGAAATTTCAGCAGTATTAAATGTCTGGTTGACGGTATCCTTTTTTCTTAAACAACCTAAGTTCTGTCATTCAAGTAGAGCAGGAGATCTTCAATCATTTAGGGAAGCTCTACAATTACAAAGCATGCAAAACAGATGGAGGTAAAAGAAACCCTTACAGAAGATTTTTTCCTTAATTATAAGATAAGACAAACACCCTTCTGGAACAAAGAAGAAGCACTTTTAACCAGATTAAAAAATGCATAAGTCACAGTACCAGTATAATATCTTGCATAGATTTGGCTTTTGCAAGTATAGTTTTTTCATGAACAATAACCCTAAGAAAAAAAAAAGTGTATTGTACAGACTTGGAGAGAGATTTTTCCCCAATTAAAAACAATGGGGGAAATCAAGACCTTAAGTACCTGAAAGGTAAAAAGTGGTTTGAATTTTAAGACAGTTTCTTTTTCTTTTCTTTTCCTCTTTTTTTTTTTTTTTAAATGAATGCTAACTTCTGATCCTCAAACATTTCTAAAACCTTGTAATTATGGTTTTATATGCATGCATATTGCGACACATGCATACTTAAGGAGAGCCTTTATATTCTTTACTTTGACAAAACCCTGCATCAACAGGGCTTATCTGTGGTCTGGCAGCTACCAATGTTCAATTTCCCACAGCCTACTGGGCTCCTGCCTGTCAGCTGTGTCACAAACTCATATGCAGTCTTCATTTGGCCAAATGCACGGTAGAAAACAGAATATTAAGCTGCTTTCATAGTGAAAAGCAATGCCATTGGCTTTAGCTGAAGTTTTGTCCAAGAAGGAAAAACAGAACTAGACCCAGAAGAAGGTTACTTAACATTAAGGATTTGAGTTTTACAATTTTATAAAGGGTATTTAAATTTCAGGTATTTAAATTTTAAATTAAAAAAAAAATAAAATTCAGGTATTTAAAACTGGTTTATTCCTCTGCAACACTTTTGTATGTAAAAATGACAATTGTCCAGAGTATATCTTAAATTCTTTAAGTGCTTCTGTGGGCTCATCAAGAAAGGGGATCACGCACATTCATGTGGCTTCTCTTTTTGATAAGAACATTTATATAGTTGAGAAGAACCACACCAGAATATAATGCCTAATTCTGAATGGTCTGTTATACCCTGGGTGTGTTAGTATCCTTTCAAGCAAAACAGTACAGAACAAAATAGAAACCTTCATATTTAGGCTTTAAAATTCAAATATAAACTACTGTCAGATTCTTTGTCAAATCACTCCCAAATTTGTAAACCCCAACTAATATCTTAGATGAATTAATGGTTCTGATGGCTGAACTTTGATGTCAGACAATACAAGATGAGGTATTGACCAAGTTGGTTAGATGGCCATGTCTAAAACTTCTGAGTGAATTACATGGCCTTGTAATAAGACAGACTAAATAATGAAGTGGATGAAATTAGGGTCCACAAGTACAATGATCCCACCTCAGGTTTACAAGAAAAAACAGCTGTCAGGTGAACTACAGGTGAAAGTAATACTCTGAAGTCTTCCACACAAATTCTTGCTTGAAATTGAGGGCTCTTTAGAACCCAACTTCTCATTCTTGGGTCTCATGCTTCTATGTAGATAATGGTAGCCTTTGCATCACATTTGCACAAACTCATTTCTCTCAACAGAGCATATTTTGTCAATCTCTCTATAACACAATCCTACTAAATCCAGCAAAGGCTCTCTAGAGAGGGGAAGATGTGAATGATTAAAAAATTTAATTAATGTACATAGTACATCCTCGTTCCATTACTTATGATAATAGAAGTACAAATTTAATGCAGTTGAAGTGCATTTAGAAGTCTAATAGGACAATGCCACAGATGAAACAATATTGACTGCACAAACAGAGGGAATACAAAACTCAGTAACGTGTACTTCATGAGCAATGGTCAAACAAAGATTTGCATGTTACTGGATAGAGATATAAAAGAAAAAAAGAATGGATTGAAAAAAAAAACAAAACAGAATGATGAGTCTGTTGTGGACTCCCAGGCACCTGCCCCATGTTTTGTGTGTTGTGTAGAGAAGGTGAGCTATCAGTGATTCAGAGCTTTTCCTTTGGGCACTGCCAGAACTAAGGGCCAGCAGTGCTGTCATTTAGACAAGTTTCTCAGAGCCTGTGTTTGCAGAACAGGCAGCAAAGGTAGACAAGACAGACATAAATCTCAATTTCTGAATTCCCAAACTTCAAAAGCTGAACAGAAGTTACGTAAATGAGTAGCAAAATTAATTAAAAGGAGTAGGCAAGACAGAAGCCAACAACAAGCCAACAGCCAGCTCTGGACTGAAAGCCTAGAACAGGAACAAAGGTGTGTTGTTTTCAGTAAAATCCCAGCTCTCCAGGTGTGTGCTGTACATCTGGGTTTTACCCATTTTATGCAGACAGGAAGAGGAGATGTGGTTCACACCATTATTAAATCACACAGTTAGGCTGTCTTACACCTGTGAAAACCAACAAATGCAAATACTACCAGCAAAACTTGATCATTCACCTGTTTACCAACCTACCACTTGGAACAACCTTCTACTTCATTAGAGTCTGTAAAAAAGAGTCAGTAACACTGCCAAAGCGGCTAATACAAAGCTCTGGAGCAGGGTACACCCAGCAGAGGCAAGGCAAGAACTGCCTTCTCGTTTTCCAATAAACACACGCAGCATAACTACTTGATAAAAGTGCTGCATGTCCTGGATAACTAACTGTACCTGTCTGCTTCACTTCACCACAATACCAGGGAGGACACACAGCTGACTGAGGATCCAACAGCATCCAGCTCCAAGGCTTCCAGCAAACAGAAGACACGTGGATACCTGAGGTCAGCACAGAAATTAAGCTGGCAGAATCTACTGATGCTTACAGGCATCCACTTGCAGAGGCTCTATCAGCTTATCGCTGCCATTGCCTTCCAAGGGGCCAGGAAAAACATCCAGTAGGGGGCTTGTATAAAGCCTGACTGCACACGCAGATTTACATTCGGTGTGCTTACTCTTGCACACACAGCACTGGTCCAGCTGCAACACCTAGTCACCCCTGCAAAATACTACGCAATGCATCAATGGGTGAGTTCTGAACAGGAGCCAGGAGTTACCCATTTCTAACAGCCTGGTCTGCAAGATTGTTCAATCCCACTGCACGACAACATGAGCACACAGTTAAGGGATGCTTCAGGCCGTGGGTTAGGCACATGCATGCAAAATATGTCCATAGTCCCACAAAGTCTAAAGCACTGCACGCACATTTCCATGCCATATGTGCACTCAAACACTTCCTTGAACCAGAGGATGAAAAAGTCAATTGATATACTTAGGACCAAGGTGAATGGGAGTCTATAAAATGAAATGAATGAGAAAAAAAATGCCAAGAAAAGATGGGGACTGAAGCAATAAAATGGAAAACAAAAAACTATAGCTACTAAGTTATGAAGTCATAAATACAATGGGATAACGGTATAAAGATGACAGCTCAAAAATTATCTTCATCCAAGCCAATATTACCATTTTCAAGATTCAATAGAGACAATTTCCGCAACTGAGTGGTAAAGCCAACAGAAGCGTCAAGACTGTGGCTCCCACGAGAGCCTGAAAGAACAGGCTTCGGTCAGTCATCAGCCTGGGGGGCAACTGGAAGTCACGTCTGATAGATGTCAAGAGCGCTCTCTCACTCCCAAGGAGCACTGGCTGTGTTCACAGGGAGCATGTCAGAGCAATCAGATATAAATTACACTTTCAAAAGAATGCAAGGCTCTCATAATATACCTGAAAGCAGGCAACCCAAGAGTGAGGATTTTATACAAAGCAATTTCCCTTTAGATGCTAAACACTGTTTCAAATCAGACCACGTAACGTGACTATAAGCTCAAGTACATGTGCTGGTACTACCCAACATTCCTCGTTCATTTTCAAAAGTGTTCTTTTGCAGAAAAACTGCCTCTAATATTTGGGAAACACTAAGTTTTTTAAAAGTAGTGAACAGAAAAGCACAATATATTAAGACAGAAGTCGTAGAATAGGTCAGACATAACAATATTGAATTTGGAAAAATAATCACAATAAATATGCAATATTTTTATGAATCATAACCATATGTACACTCAGGTGCTTTAAATGCATTTCAATGCACTTGAATAAGCCACTTTTAACAAAATGCTCTAAATAAAAAGGTCGCTTAGATTTGAAATACCATTGCTAAGGCAATAGTTAAAAATCAATTGACAACAGTAAGGCTACTATTTCAATCAATTTCATTCTAGTAGTAAATTCTTTGAAGATACAAAGCACACTGAACACCTTTTTACTTCAATTCAGACACAAAAGTTCCTGTATAATGATGCTTACTCACCTGTTGTAAATAAATTACCCTGCTGATAAATTATTTACATAAGTATTTACATAACTGTCACTAGGACAAAAATATTGGAAGCAGAATAATTGAAGTCTAAAATTTCACCTAAGTAAGTGGCTCCAGGATATTCAGGACAAGAGAGGCAAACCACTTGAGCTGCAAAATTTCTGAAGTAATCCCAGAAGGTGCTCATCGCCCTTCATTCCAGCTGATTGTAAAAATTGCTCAACTCATCTTAGGACTAAGCCACTGGTGCCAAATGAGGTATTTTTGTTGTGATGTTTATTCATGGCAACTGTTCTTGTTGCATGATCTAGTAACATTGCTCATGGCATGTCTTGTGTTTGAAATTCAACTTAACAGCTTTAGGTCTGCTTTGAAACTATGGCTCAACCTGGAAAACTAGAATTACCCTCCAAGAAAGCACAACCAAAACCAGAACATTTCTTGAAATAGATCCTTAACTTGCCAGAACTCAGAAGAACGACAATAATACATATGCATGTTTCCTAATAAACTGGAAAGCCCCTCCTTTTAGCACACTGCAGTGCCTATTCTTACCTAGTCCTATTCTGTTGGGACTTGTCTCTCGACTGCATCCCTGGCTCCGAGGGATCTTGCTGCGCTTCTCTGAAGATGATGGCACTGGCTGAACTCTGGATGTTCCACCACTCAGGCCACCATAGGCGCTTCCTAACAGCTTACCCGGAGAACTAGACCGGCTACCAGCTAGGAAAGAACCAGAGATAAAGAAAAAAACAGTTAAATACAGAATTTTTTAACAAGATCTTATTCTGATAGCAAAAATGGAACACAATCAGCTCTAATAATCTGACCTAAAGCACAAACAAAACTAAATGGAGAGATCCCCAGGGGCTTTAGGAGCAATACTGAGGAAAGCCCATGGAAAATAAATACTGACATCAGCAATCCTGCTTATATGAACAGTGCTGCCCAGTCAGGTTCAAGACCAACATAGACACTGCAGTGCAGGAATACTCCAGCTGGCTTTCTGTGAACTTGTGAAGATGCCAGGAGCAGCCTTGTTGCAGCAGCATGGAATACACAGCCTGCTTTGCCTCATCAAGCAGCAAAAAAAAAAGTAGCCCACATAGAGCACTATGCTGCAGAAAGCCAAATTCTGGCACAGGTAGCTGCTGCAGGATAGCTCAGGCATCTTCACGCCATGCTGCAGTGGTGACTTTGCATTCCTACAACAATCCAATGAAGAGCAATTAAAAAAAGAATACTGACTCAATACTGTCTCAACAGCAGCAGATTGTCATGTTAAAGGGTAAACCAAGTAACCCTGCCCCATTCGTAGAGATGCTGGTTTACTTCAGTCTGACTTGTTAAGGATAAATTATTTAGTTATTTTTCAGCTGGAGAAAATTTTTTAGAAAGTTGAATTGTTGGCCTGGTGTATTTTTCCTTGTCTGTTTGAATAGTCCATGGCAAGTTTACATTTTTTTTTTAAGCCATGCTGTCTGCAAGACAGTCTGCTGACTGAGATTTATTTACAACGTCTCCTGCAGCTGGAATGTAAATATTTCTATGAAATACTCCCGCTGTCAAACTCAAGGAGTTGAACAAGATCATTATTTTTTTCGGTGTATCTCATTTTGGTAATTAAATCAGCAGAAACATGTTAAGCAACGTTAAGCTTAAAAGGTAACCAAAGAACTGTGAAAGTACGGGATGAAAGACTCTTCTTTGCTTCTTTAGGTATATAAAATAGACACTGAAAATTTGCTGCTATTACCATTCCTGGCATTCAAATTCTTAATTAAAACCACTACAAAAAGCATACCTGAAAAAGGTTGCTAAAATATACTCAGGCAAGGTCATGTTTTAAACAAATATTCGAGTTGGTTTATTTCTAAAAAGCGTCAACAAATCTCACATATTTCAGTCCCAGACACTTATACAACTAGTAAGAGTTGAAGGCTGTTCTGTCTTAATTTAAAGGTATGGAGTTTTACTAAGCTGATGGACAATGCCATAAAAAAGCATGTATTATTTTAACTTATTTAGTTCCTTCAATTTCTTAGGCAAAGCCATGCTGAATTGATCAAATCATGCACTCCAATACTGTATGTTGTGCTGGGTTCCCAAAAAGTGAGAACGCTTGTGAAAGATGCCAGTCTCTATCACAGCATTTACACCCTGAAAGCCAACACTCCCCTCAGTTACACTGCTGCAATCTCACTGATGTTGTTGGAGTTGCACTGAAGTAAATGGAAAAGGAATTTAGCACCTGGGGTTTAAGCTGCAGGAACTTCCCTGCAATGAGCCAGCTTCAATACACAGTGTATGCTTACCATGTTTGGTTACTATGAGAAAGCTAGATCGTTTTCCATACGCATTTGTTTTTTTAACTTTAAGAAAATGCTTTTTAATTGATAGCCAGGAAAGAGTGAGGGAAGCTAAAAGCTTAGCAGTTAAAAAAACTGAAGGAAATAACGTGAGAAAGCAAGAAAGGGAAAATGTTTCTTACCACCAGCAGGATTAGCTGATCTGGATCCTTGATTATGAGGGCAGACGAAAGGACAGGCAAAAAGTGGATTAAAAGACAGCAAGACAATACAGCGTTCAGCATGCGGTTTATGCTATACACAATACAGACAGTTTTATTCACAAACATGTCACTCCTTAAGCCTCTGCAGAATGCAGTGAGTTAACATGCAGATGCAACTGACTTGACTCCCAGGGTTGGTCAGCTTCTCAGCTACATATCAACCAACACAGAGGCCCAAGTTCTGCTGTAAACTAGACCCCAAGCCTAGCCTGTAAAACTGAAATGGGCTACCAGTGTGTGGGCATGCAAAATTTGGTCCTACAACCATATTATGTTTGAATGCATTAATTACTTCATGCAGTGCTTGGCTTAGGAAATTAAAGCTCACATCTAGATGGTCTAGGCTAGAATCAGTATTCCACAATCTAGGCCAAGATAGCAGGTTCAGATGTGACCATCCTGAAGCCTCATAAGACATTCCATAAAAAAAAATTAAGCTCACGATGTTTGAACTGCTCAACTGTTCTTTAAATACGTCTGAGACTTGTCTCATCTGATCTGATCACACCACAAGAAAAAAGGCCATTTCTGGCTTTGGATCAGTTTTGGGTTCAAAACAATAGGCATAAATTCAGATCAGAAAACCAAAGCTCCAATTCCTTCATAGCCTCGATGTAAAGATTTCCATTTAGCCCCATCCTAAATACATCTTCAGCTCTCTCAGCCTAACATAATGCTCTAAACTGCTTCCCCATACCTCCAGCAAGACAGAGCAAAGCAGTGACAGCATGAACAGAGGAGAACTATTAAACAAGGGTGCAAAGCAAGACAAGTCCCCAGAACAAACCCCACCTCCTCTTACTCCCCAAGCTTGAAAGTCCTCCAAATTTGCATGGTTTTTCCCTCTACCCATTTCCTCCTGAAATCTGAGTGACAAAATTCTCCTTAGACACACATGACAAACATATAGCATCACTGTTTGCATGTCTCCTAGGGGGAAATCATGCCTTGCAAGGAAGCCAGAGAGCACATATGTGCCATGTGAATCAGAGCAGAAACATCTCCTCTGTATCTGCACATAGTAGGCAATGCCCTATTTTAAGCTGATGCTAACACATGAACTTCAGACAGCTCACGTTACACATACAGGAATACAGTAACATAAGCAGGAGAAGCTCGGCAGGGCAAGAGCCCAGGACAGCAACCAGCAACAGACATGAAGGGCATCTCAGTGGAACCCAGTACAGGTAATTTAGTCTTATATGTTGCAATGACCTGAAGTGCTGCTGCACAACAGGTTAAAAAAAGCAGCAACTAAGTACTCAGATTTGGGGCACTATTTATCAGGGAGAGCTACACTGAAAGCTGGCTGAGTGATTCATTTTGTTACATCTCCAGATATTATTCATCTCCAGATATTATTCAGCAGAAGTGAGCCCGACTCTCAGCTGATGCTACCACAATTCAAAAGAAATTTTTCTCCTCGCCCGGAAACAAAACACTTCTTACGTTGGGACTGGGAAACCACTTTAGCCCGGCTGCGGCCTCGGGTATCCGCAGGCGTTGAGGTGACACTTGTGGCACTGCCAGAGCTCTGTCTCCTTGTACGAATCCGACCTGGAGGAATGCAAAGACAACAAAATTGTTAATAGGTTTCTTCCAAAGGCAGCATCAGCTTCTAAAGCACCACCTGTTCCATGCTTGCAGTGCTGCTATCCACAAAACTAACCAGGGTACAGGAAAAAAAAATTAAAAGGAGAGGCAACTTTCATTAAACTGGCTGATGATGAGAGTGAAAACAAGTCCAAACGTCTACAAGTCTGAAAACTTTTTAGCTTTCTGTTATGCTATCAGCCAGTTTAATAAAAAGAACATATTACCTCTCTAAAGCCTTTGCCTCTGTTCTGTAGTAGCTTCTTTGAAGTTCAACCACAAAACTGACAGTAGCCTAAATGCCACTTCCTATATTAAAATTATTACTTTCAGAGAAGGCGATCACCCTTTCGGAGATGGGCACAGCAGATGCAGCCACAAATTCCATCGCTGGGATTTCCAAATAGCAGCTCAGCACTTTACAGCCTGCTCTCCATGTGCACGCCAGTGTGTATCACTGAGAGTCTGCCAACACAGCCTGGCTACACTTTTATTTCAGGCTCAATTTTCCCTGCTGTTTACAGATCCCTCGTATTTATACCTAGATCAGTGTAACTTGTAACGGTGAGTCTCATTTAACACAATCAACATCGTGGAAAAAAAAGATTCCATGTGCCTGCCCTTTCTTTAAGCAGAGAATGGATATAAAGTCTCAAAGTGTTCTTGGTCCTTTTTCTGTCCTTTCCTTATGAAAAAGCTACAGAAATTTGAGCTCGCCCAGCTCACGAGGTCATCAGTTCATCCCCTTCCTGGGGCAGGGCTCTGTCCTACAGAATGTTCTTTCCAGTGCTAAGGTTCAATTATCTGTCTCTAGCTAATGGGAAAGAAATGATAATTAAGAGTAACACAAAGAAAGCCTCCACCAGCACTTTTCAACAACTCGGTTCTCAGCCAAATCTGAAGCCGTTTCTCAGGACTAATGCCAGTGCTACCCTGCATTCAGAGGATGATTTCAAGTTTCAGGCAAAATAATAAAAGGGAAAAAAACAACAACACAAACACATAACAGGTAAGAGAATAGTCTTGACAACTGCACCCACCAGTTACAGATATGTATCTCCCACCCTTTGTCTCCACCATAAGCAAACAGAGAAACAAGAACAGGGAGATGTAACTTCCCACCCAAAACCACGGAAGGTACACATGCAGAACAAGACAATGGCAAGCAGCCCAGGCTGAACAGGTTGAGAGCTCTGTTCCTTGGTCTGAGCTCTCAAAATATTTGTAACACTTCCTGTGAGTTTCTGACAGACACAAGGTGACAAGGAAATGTGTAGCTCTGAGAAGGAAGCCTAGACTTGATTGCAGGAAAAAGGCCTGAAGTACTTCATGCTGCACCACCAGCATCTAGTGTTAAAAAATATCAGCAGGCTTCCAGAGCTATTATAGCAAGCTAAGGTGCAGTGAGCCAAGACACAGATATCTGCCTTCACACCACTGTTTGTAGACACAACAGAAGAAATGATAAGCACAAAGCTGGGAAGACACCAACAAATCACTATTTAACCACTGGCTCAGTCAAGTTCTGAACCAGTGGGTCCAGGGATGATGGGCCTGGCTGCTAAGGCACTCCCTACCAACGGAGCAAGGCGGCAGCTCTCCTCGGCTCCAGGACATTAGCTGCCCCTTGCACATGGCCAGCCCGATATACAGCCCTTTCCTGGCCCATTCCCGTCCTTCCCAGGTTTCACAAATGGGCAGCTACACGCAGATGAGCAGTCACGGTGTGCCTTGCCATGAGGTGCACACCCCAAATCCCACCACAGGCTTCAAAGACGCACACAGGGAAAAAGCAGAAAGCTGAACAGAGGCCTAAATTCATTACAGCTTTCACAGCAACACATAGCAGCACCATGGTTTCACACACATGTGCTGTAAAGCTACAAAGAGTGTGACAACACAATACACGGTCACCCTAGGAGCAATTACATTCTTGGAGCCTATGGCATAGAGCAAAAGACAAGGAAAAAAAATCTCAAAATCATGTTCGAATTCTTCACACAGTTACAAAGAAATAATGTCACCTGGTATCACTCACGTATTCCTTGAGACCCGAATTGCTAATGTACGTTCTGATTTGTTAGTTTCCAACTGTTTTTAATACAGCTGTTTAACCTTACTTGCCGCATGCAAGTGGTTCAAAATGATTAATTCAAAGATACTTATTTTTAAATAAGTTTATATTTTTTCCCTATCCAAATACAGCATTAGCCGTAAAACAAGACCAAATGGAACTCAAAATTGCTTTAGGCAAATCTGTATGAGACAGAAACATGGAGAGGGACCTGGGATGTTTCATACATTAACTTCTGCTCGCATGTGCATGTACCAACCTTAAGTTAGTCTTATGACATCCAAAACATACTTGCTTTACGGTAACGTAAAATGAATCCATAGTTAACTGGCTTGAAAATCTCAAGGTTTTTAACATATGCTATTCCATGTATAACATGCATATATAGTCGTTCATCTACATAATACAAATGTCTTTATTACGTTCCCTTAAGCATTTCATCTGCAAACAAGAGTCTGCATTCATATCCAGAAGTTACTTGCACAAAGGAATATCTATCTGTGCATCTTTATTCCTATCATTCCACCACAAGCTGAAAAAATAATTTCAGGCAAGACTGGAAGTAATATAGCAAAGAGGTTACATGGGCATTTTGTTATTAAATGCAAACAAACACCTCCCCTCCCATACACTTTGCCTTCAGTGGGGTTTGTTTCCACATCTAGCTCAAACCACAGATGGAAAAACTCATTATTTCATAACTATAATTTTTCTGCTCCTTTTAAAAAGATTCCTTTATCCTGAGAGCAGCAGCACAGCAGAGGAAAAGATAAAGACTGCCCCAACTAGTTTCCAAAAGCACTGAAGTATTGCCATTTTAAAAAGCCTTTGATCTGAATTTGACATGTGACACTTTGCTGGTACAAAAACCATTTTGAAAGACCCCATAAAAATGCTTAGTTTTAAGAATTCATTTGTGTTTTGTTTTTAGAGCTTTTTTTTTCCTGTTAAAGTTAGTGTCATTTTTACAGCAATTAATGGATCAGAATCAACTTTGAGATGGCTAACATACGCTTAAATTTAGGAAAGTCTTCTTTTTAAAATAAAACAGCAACAACAGAAGAACAAGCAAATAAACTGTGATTTTTTTTAATTATTATTTTTTATTTTTGCATTACAGAAGGCTTCTCTTGGCAGTGCTGTTCTAAGCTCCTCCAGGTAGATAGCACAGCACCTCTACCCCAGCTCTCAGAACAGACACAGGCTTTGTGAGATCCAACCTGTATACTACACTGTGAAGAAAATGGCTTTCAAATACTCTAGAAATGGTATATAACAGCTCCATGACTGAGTTTACTGAGTTTAATCAGTTCCATGCTGTGAATAACGATGCCTACAACCACGGAAGTTACATGTAGAAGCACTGGGATGGCAATGGTATCTCCATGAACCAATTAATGCATGCAAGTTCTCAGCACAAGGTTTCTTCCCTACTTGGAAAAAGAGAAAAAAAAATCTGAGTCTCTAGGGCCCACCAGCTGTACACGTCAATTATTGGTGATACATTTGCAAATACAAACAATTAAAAATATGAATTGTATGTAACATCTGTAAACAACCCCTTTTGCTATGGTGTGGGTTTAATTTGTATTTAGCACAAATCCAACATTACTTGTACAAAACCAGACTTTGCACTAGTTTCCTGAGATGCACTCTACCCTTACCATAAACCACCAGTATATGCTGCTTTTAAAAAAAAAAAAATAGTCTGCCAAAGCAGAGTTAAAGGAATGACAGTGGCACCACGCTGCTCAACACCAATAAGCACAGGGAACCAAGCCAGCACTTCCAAAGACCAAAAGAAGAAACACACTACCCTAGCATTTCAGTTTAAGTTAAGTTGTTCAGTCAAACCTTTGAGCCAAGCCCTGTCCTTGATGACAAAGGGCTTTAAAGCAAAGAAGAAAACAGGATTGGTGACTTCTTAAAAGTGTTATTCCTGAAGCCTTTATAAGGCTTTAGATGTTCAATCGCACAGATAAGCTCTTTAAGCCTAAGTTATCTGAAAACTATGATATATCAGAAAGATTTTATTTCCTTTCTGGTGAATAATAAAAATACTAAGTATTGTGCCACTGTTTCTGGAAATTGCTGATTTGTTTTAAACTTAACAGTCCTGGGACAGACCAGCATTTATGTGTGTGTTTTTTTTGTTTGTTTGTTTGTTTGTTTTTGGAAAGGCTCGTTTGAAAGGCATTTTTATGCTCACTTTGAGAAAAGTTGCACAGATAACAGAAATGCTCTGAACCATTATTATGTACTGAAAGTCAGCATTACACACAATATTCAACTATTCCTTTAAAAACTGTTTTATGATAAAACAAGCAGAAATTTTTCTGAGGTTTCCTTTTAATTGGGTATAACAAACATGGACGCACAGCAGCTACTTGCATGGCACTAGCTGTAATACCCAGATCAAAGCTAAAAAAAGGTTTAAAAAACTAAAAAGGTTTGGATCTTACAAGCTTTGTGCCTACAAAACTCTTAATTAAGTTCCTGAGACACTCATGCACGAAGGGTCTGGGCAATCCAGACATAACTGTGCACTGCACAAAGACACAGCCTCACAGCATGGTGGCAGAAGACCTACGCAGATCAAGGCTGTGCACAGGTTCACGCTACCTTCCTACAAGAAGTGCATTTCAGCAACGTTTGACATTTGGGTTGACACTGCTCAAAACCAAAGAACCAGTACTCCACTCTTAGCTTGCCACTGGCATAACCCACTTCTGTCTTGCTCCTCTTTTGAGACGCCTGGCTCAAAAACAAAGCACTGAGGAGAACCGAGGGCAAAGCAGATGGGAACTGCCAAGTTAGCACAATGCTGGCTCCCAGCTGAGGGGAAGGTGCAGAAGTTTTACACTGCTGCTAGGGAAAGTCATGATGGGAAACAGACTGCAGATTAAATGTCAAGCTGAATTACACAACAACACGGATTTATTCTTTAAGTAGCTAATGGTGACCTGCAAAAACACAGGGGTGACTCCCTCCTGCAAATGGAATTCTTGCTTTCTGTTCGAAGACCACCTCTAGCACACATAGGTATTTCCAGAGCTCAGTGATACTTCTCTCCTGCCCTGCCTTCCCCTGCTTCATTGATTTTTTTATGTTTATGTCGAGAATATAAAAGTTCTGCCTTCCCTACAGTTACCTACAACTCTGAAAGATCAGAGTTGGCAGAAGAGCATTCTCAACCCTCACCTGAAGGAGGCACTGAATGTTGAACAAAAGGCTGCTTTTCCCCCAACTGTCTCAACAGACAGAAACAAAGATGATGAAGAGTTTCAAACAGTGATTAAACTCATCCTTCAAGTGCTCTGTGGCTGCTACGTGCCCTGTTATTATAATCCTCCACTCCTCCCCACCACAAGAGAATCCTACAGCAAAAGAAGAGATGAGATCTGGTACTTAACATGGAGGGAGTGGAAAACAATTTGTGAAAGTTCATCTCGCAGCTTTCCCCCCACAGGTGACTTGCTGGTTTCTATTACAGACTTTTACAAATCCAATCTGCTTCCAGTGCAGATGAATTGAAAGAAAGTTGCTAGAAAAAAAAACCTTTTGCATGACAACAATAGAACATTTAATGAACTAAATGAATTAATGAACTAAAAATAAAGGTATGCCAGAGGACGGCTACTGGAACAGGCTTCCACAGACATTGTTAGTCTAGGAGAGGATTTGTGAGTTGTGTGGGCTAGTTCAGAAGATTCAGAACATTCAACATTGCTATGTTAGGCCAAAACCAGAAAACTTTGAAGACTGTGGGGAAGGAAAGAAGTGAAAAAGAAGGGTTAGCAGTGAATAATAAAAGCTAAGGATTGCAACAACTTAGATCTTTCATCTAACTTGATGATGATTTAGAAATACAGGTGTTAAGACCAACTCCATGTTCCTTATCACTGACAGATCACAAACCATAAGCACTTGGGCATGATTCTGAGCCAGTTCATCTTTAAACACTAAGATTAAGTACCAGTTCTGAAGATGGCAGACACCTTTCCCTCCAAATAATGAACCAGTGCATCAGTAATAGGAAGGAAAAAACAAAAACACGTCACAACAGCACAGTGGCACTTCTCAGAACACCACATCCAAATACAAGCAGCCATCAAGGATACGAACACAGTCCCACAAAACAGTAATAGATCCCTTGAAAAGAGACTTGCAACAGGAAACAAATGGGTTTGTTTGGGGGGAGTTGTCTTCATTATGTGTTGAAGGCCTTCTTGTTTCCAGTCCCTGTCTACCTCAGAAAAAGCAATTTTCCAGTGATCTTTTTTTGCTTGAGAAGTAAGAAATAAAGAACAAGCTTTGACAAAAAGCCAGATAACCAGACTGGGAGGCCTCCCAGACTAGCAGGCTCGGTGTTCTCAAAAAAAGACTTTCCTCCAACTGTCTTAGTTGTAAGCCATCACACTCAGACAGTTAACAATAAAAAAAAGAGTGAGCTCAGGTTTAAAGAGTTTGACTAAATATTCCTTCCCTAGAGATCATTGTTTACTGTCCTCATTTTTCTGCCATGTGATCATCTCATTCAATTCTCTTGCTGCCCAGGCTCTTCCTGAAAGCGTTTGGCAGTTGAGACCTGAGCTTTGGATGGAAAAACACAGCAAACCTTTACACGTCGTGGAGCAAGAAAACACAAGCCCTGTTTTTTTAATCTGTGCACAGGTCACCTTCAACCAAAAGTACTGCTTTAAACAGGGAGACCCACACACAACTTTGTGATCAGGAATTAGCCATAAAAACTAAATAGTGCCATTAATAGGGAGGAGCCTGAAGAGAAAGTGAAGATCACCCCATGGCATCAAAATGAGCAGGACAACCATGCAACACTTCATGCACGTCACCAGTGAACATGGATGAGAATCGGGTAACACTTTGAGAACAGGTAGGGTGGTACGACTGCAGACACACCTCAGTTACACAGAGAGACTGCTTACCCTCAGTTTTAGTGGTAGTACCATCTTTAGGCAAATTAAAAAAAATAAGGAAAGGGTTAATAGGGATGAAATAGTAACAGCAGCAGAAGTGGGCACTACAAATTAGCTACAGAAGTTTGCAAAAGAATTCACATAATTAAGGAAATTAAAAAATTTGAGTAGCAAATCAAAGCTTGATGCATTTGAAGAACAAGGCTACAAGTTTTTCCTTCCAACAACATATCTAACCCTTTGTCAGACCCCATTTTCTTCATTTGCCTCACCATTTCTCTCAAGGAGACACACAGGTGACAAATTTCCCTGCTAGCTCAAAAGGAAAGAGACTCCTTTAGGAGCAGCCATGCATTACTTAATGAAATGCAGTGCATTTCCTGCTTTTCTCCTTCAGTACATTAAAGATTAAGACTAGCACTGTAAACGGTCACCTGGCTTCAAGGACAAAGCCATCTTTAGTATTTTCTTCCCCCCTTTCCTTTCTTCCTCACAGCATAAGATGGTACAAAATCACTTTTGTCACTGAAGCAAGGACACAGCACAACTAAAAACGGCTGCTTATTGAAGTTTTGAATGCACACCATTAAGCAACCAACTCCAACGTCTGTATTGAGTTCACTGCAACGCATCTAAATCTTGAACCAAATATCAACATGCAATGTAAAACAGAGAGAAACATGAACTTGTGCATCAAATACAACCAATACATTTAAGACATGGTAAAAGACTTCAGATATAAAAACAACATATTTACAAAGGGAATCTATAGAAAGCATCCCTATGTAATTCACCGGGCACTTAATCTGACTGAAGACCTAATGCTGAACACTACGGAGAAACTACTTTTCAGTTGACTCAGTGAAGATATCGGCACAGCTTAAATCAAGACCACTGATTTTGATATCTACTAGGCATCTGATTTTTCTCCCTCTTGTAAAGGTAAATCAATGAAAACTCTGGAATTAGATTAGCATGAAACCAGCAGAATGAGAAATCACACTGTGTCTGTCACTGCCTTGCATTTCCTCCTTCAGCAAGTTGGCAACGTCATCTCCAGGAGAGAAAATGCAAACTTTGTTGTAAGAAACACTGGGAAGGTATCTGACAGTGATATACAATGCTCTAAGAAAATAATGGCAGTAATCCAGAGAGTCAGCAGAAGAACAGATACTTATATCCTAAGCACATGGTGAAATGGGAAAGCCTGCTTCTCTCTCTGCTTCTACATCTTTTTCTCTTTTGCAAAACAAAGTAATCAAGCTCAGCTAAGATGTACTATTCAAAGCATAAAATAATTCATGGAAAACCAGTTTCAATGAAGGAGGAAGGAGGGAAGAGAAAGGAGAAAGAGACTGAGACATGTTAAAAGCAATGGAGCGGTAAGAAATTTCCTCAACAGCATCTGCTTTTCCCCAGAAAGAAGAGACAGCGACTATCAAAGCAATAGAAAATATAAGATGTTGCTGCAAGTCAGTTCCTATGTAAATTTTTTGCTTAATCCCAGAAGACAACAGAATGCACGCTGATGCTGTTGGCCATATCAGAGATATGTCCTTCCAGTTCCAGAGTTTTATATTCCAATCAAATTACCTAGGCACTGCCTGGTAGTAAAGAAAGCTAACTGCAACAGTAGAACGTATAGATTTACCTAGTGATGCATATGAGCCTGGGGGCAAGGCTGCAGCAGAACTGAAGGGGGTAGATGCTCCAGAAGATGTCACTTTCGACTTGGCACTAGCTGCTGCATTCACATCAACGTCACTGCGGGACCGCTGCAGAGATCCTGGTGTTGACACAGATTTTGTACTTACTGTAGATGCTGCAGATGGGAGTGGGAGACCCAGAATAAGGAAGATTAATTTTTTGAACTGTGTTCTTCAGGGAAGAAGCTCTGTGTGTCAAGCAGTTTAACGTACTATTTTTAACACTCTTTACTTTGCACTGGAATATTTCAACTAAGAATGCTTCATCAGGACAACATGGGCTTCCGCACAGTGCCTGCAAAGATATTTCAATGCTGACCTGATGCCAGCTCCAAGAACTTTATTAGACACTAACCTAAATGCTGAGATCACTGCTGGTTGCCAGGCCAGCAATACAGAAAAACTCAGCTACAGTACCCATCACCTGCTTGTGAGTTGCTTTAACTCAGGTTCTACGCTTTCCTGCAAGCTTTCCTACCTGCCTTCCCAACACCTCATCTTCTCGTGAGGACCACTGTTCCCAGCACTTTTTAATGTTTACCCTCTTAAGCATAATACTTGTCTATTCAGCTGCAAGCAGACATGCATTTGCAGGCACAATAAAGTAGGCATACTTAAAGGTATACATAAAGGTATCATCAGCAGAGTATACTGATAGGGCTAGAAGGTAGCTTACCATCTACTAACAAAGCTTTGTCTGTAATGTGGTATATTAAAATTTACTACTTAGATTATTATATGCATTTACTTAGGATAGTACAGCTGCCTGTACTTGTCAGGTATATAGGCTTGGGTACATGAATCAAGAGAATAAAGATGCCTATTAAATAAGCAAGCATTCATTCTTACATATTCCCTTGCCATTGCACATAAGTCTTCTATGAAGTAACGTCAGCCACTCTTGGCTACACCTGAATATTCCATCTGATGTTAAAAACAGACTGGCAAAAAGATATAATTTAGCACTGTAGGACTTTGTGCAGACTATGCCTCCAATAAGTGCTGAAACCACAGAAAATAAATGAGAGAAAAGCTGAATGCACCAGTAGGCTATGCAGCTCTATATACTAGCATCAGCAGAAGTTAATCCCAGCTATTTCACAGCTAAACATATGTTGACTACAACTTTGAAGGCTTTTTAGCCTTCCCTTCAGGTGCAGACAATAACAGGTTTACTAGCTTTCAAAGGCATTATTACATCAGAGGTTGTTGTACAAAAAGGGGTGTACAACCCAGAACCAATTAAAAAAATTACATAAGGTGCCATTTTTACAGAGCAGTAAACAGCAAAGTTGTCCTTTGCACAATGCAGTATCAAAAATTCTCATTCTACTTCGTTGCATTTCCTCAGCAACACCTCACCATATTTTCAGCTACTGCTCTCACCTCTCGATGTAGTACTTCCAGTAGGACTTCTTTTGGCAGACAGTGGACGGCTAGAAGTAAATAAAAATATTTATTAAAACAAAGCTGGTATTTCACAATCAGCAGTAATAGTACTACTCTGTTCCCTCGATACATACTGACAAAGCTTATTGTGTAAAAATAAATATAGCACCACCATAAAATTCTTTACAAATGCACCAGGAAAAAAATATTATATTACTTGAGCAAGAAGACTTCTTTAAGAATGCTTTTTGTGGATATAAAGAGTTGTGTTAATATGTTATGGGTATTTTTCATATGTGTCTAATGCTTCCGCTGCAGACATTTGCAGACTGTCTCTTCAAGAGAAGCTAGTAATATGAATGTTTCAGAAAAGTTACATACTGATTTTGCAATTACAACTCAAAGTTAGATTAGGTATTTTTTCCTCTTGCACAATAACCACCTCTAAGTAACACACCTCTAAGATGAATGCTAAACAAAGAATTTCAATCCAAGCTTTGTTTTCAGCCCATCTGGAAGGAATAGCTAGCAGTGTCTTCCGAGCACAAAAAGCACACTAAAAGTTATTGATGGTGTCAAGATAATTATTATTTTTTAAGCCAGTAATGGAGTTTTTCTGCACTTTAATATAAAGTTAACTAAAAAAAAAAATTTGACACAACCAAGTGTTGAGGCCAAATGAAGACCAGATAAGACAAGCATAGCTCAGAGTACCCAAAGCAGCTCCCCTGAATTTGAGGAAGCCATGGTCATCTCTGCAGTTCTTTAGACCAATAGAGGTAGTGATGCTGAAAGACTTACTTGAGACTCTCCTGGGAGCTGGAGGAGGAGCGATCCGATTGTGGCAAGGACACAATGCTGTCAGAGTTCTTCAAGTGTGACTGCAGGGCCTTCTGGTAGGAGGACTCCAGAGTGTGGTACAAATGCTCTGCCTCTCGGCTGAAGTGACTGTGGAAACCCCAGTAACACCTGGAAACAAGGCACAGCACTAGTAATATTTCCTTGCCATATTTTAATGGTCACTGGAGCACAGGTACAGTCAGAGCCTTTTCCACTAACGGCATTAGCGGGCTCATTAGCTTATTCATTTCAATCACCTACTGCCTCCATGATGTACTTCAGACACGTTGCTGAGTAGCACAGTGGGCTGGGGGAACAACCCCAGAGAAGACAAAGCAAACAAAACCAAGACGCACACCATTTGTGACTTTGTGAAAACACAAGTAGTCAAAAAAGCTTTAAGAGAAAGGAAATTGTTGTATCTTTGTCTGTCTAATGTGCATAGGAGATAGACCCAGACTAGACCCATAACTAGCCTGATGCTAGTTTGAGACTAGGTCCTCAAAGCTACTCTTAAAACAAGCCAAAAGCAGAACACACATGCATGGGCCTGGTTCAGAAAAAGCACCAGCAAGTATTTCACAGAATCACAGAATCATCTAGGTTGGAAGAGACCTCCAGGATCTCTTAAGTTTAACAAGCAGTTCTTATATATGTTGCAGACAGATCTTCTGTAGTGAGCTGAAGCTGCTGATTGTCTTTCGGGAAGAAAAAGAACGAGATGCTCCTACAGACTTCCAGTCAGTGTCGTGCTGAAAGTAAAAGAGCATTTCAAGATGAGGGAAGGAATTCCTCTCTGGAACAAATCTCCTGGCTGATGATAAAACACCATTCACTCTCATCACAAAGGAGATGAAGGCTCTCAGAGCTTTTCAGGAGGCAACTAATGGGCAGTTTAAGAGCGAGACTGTTAGCTGAAATAAATCAAGAATTGTTTGTATGTGCCAGTCAGTCCTCAGAGAAGTCACGTGTTCTCACATCACTAGAAGGAAACAAATTTGTCTCACAATCAGCAACACCTAATCAAGAAGCATGTGAAAAGAGAATTAAGCTTGTTCTTTAAAGTCTCATGCCATTCTCCTTGCTCTCTGTTCACCTTAACTAGTCACCTGCTGTGAAGTCTCAGTGCATACCGTGTTTTTCAGTGATGCACATTTTCCCTTTCAAAAGCATCTAAACAGTCCTACCATGAAATAGGTCTGTTTATAACATGGCATTTAGATTAACAAAATTTATTTAGTGATTTAACAGCACCCTCTTTCTGAAAAATGTTCCTGTAATCTTCTGTTCACAAAAATACGATGGTAGTATAGCAGCACAGTACTTTAAATGCAAACACATCATTGGAAATGCAAGAGATCTTCAACAAAAGAAAAATGCAAACGTGGAAGTTTCCTACAGATATGCACAAAGATCTTATTTCCATGTCAAAATATTTCCTTAATTTACAATACCATTTAGCAATGTACTAGCACAGGGACTTCTGTTTCAAGAGTAGCAGATGACCCAGTCTTGCATACGGGCCAAGAAGAAAATACATAATAGCATTGTTGTACTGAGTAGAAGAAATCTCAGTTAAACCCAAGCATCTCAAACATCAAATGACAAAGCTACTAGTTATCAACACTAAAATCTTGTATGTTAAGCTCAGGTACATATCGTACCTGCTCAGGCAGGTGAAAAGACAATAAACAACTAGAGAACGAAGCAAAATAAGCACCGCTAGAAACCAGGAAACAAATATATAACTGAGCCCTAAGTGATCACTTCACATGACATCTCCTGCTAAGGCCACACTCCCTCAGCTTTAATGGAGTGTTAGCCTCACCTGCCAGCAGAACATTGCTTGTCTGGACACAGGTTTCCAAGATGCAACACCTTAAACTTGCAATATATGGGAATAGAAGGGGAAGAAAAGACACCAGTAGCTTCTACTTACTTCCTTGCCTCTATCCTGGCTTCAGAGTCTGCATCATGAATTCCCTTCTTTATCGTTTCAGCTAACACTGATATGTGTCTGAAATAAGAAGGAAGCATTATCCAAATGCGAAAGATGAAAATCACAGAAAGAAGTGCTACACTTACAAACAAACGAATAATGTGATTTTGCCTCGGTCTCAATGAACAGAGTTCATCACATCCTCCTGTTTCCATGCAAAAACCTTTGGAGTCTTGATTTATTTACGCTTCTAACCCAGTTTTATTTCACTCACATTGCTGAGTAGGAAAAGGCAAGCAGCATTCTTCATAGAATGGTCTTTAGTTGGTTAGTTTTAAGTATTTGGGTGTAAAAATACTCTCTTAACCCTTAAAGAGTTTGGGAAGTCCAAGGGCTAAGGAAACTGGACTGTTCCCAGTTGTATCCCCAACATTTCCTTCCACTGTTCATTAGTGTGAACTGCTGTACAAGCCTGAGATGCTCCTGCTAGATGTGTAGCAGCCTTTACCTCATCATCTCACTTTAGGGTGCAAATCTATTACATTCATAGATTCATTCAGACAGGTGTTCCAGGTGTCTCCATAAAGAGATTCACTCAACTCTGCCTGCCAGAACTACAGGGATGAATAGCATGCGTGTACGTGTCGGTACTTTTCTTACCACAAAAATCTCTGCTACATGACAATCTCAACTCCAAGACTGTCCTTTCTACAGGCCTAACCTCCCCAGACATTAGTAGGTGAGAATCAACCCGCTTACTTGTTTTCAGAGCTTACCTTTCTAGGGAGTGAGTTTGCCACTCCTGCAGCAGCAGGTCTAAAAATTCAAAACAGCGCCTGAGAAGAAAAAGGAGAAATGCTGAGTTCTTTTAAGTTAAGAAGCACTCTGAATTCACCGTACCTGCCTCTGCACAGCAGCAATCGTTTGTTATGACGTTGCTTGGGACATTAGATTTCAGTAAAGACCCCAATAAAAATAGCAACATCTCTATAAATGCCATCAATAAAAAACATAATTGGAGTCACCTCTCTACAGAGAGTTCTGATGAGAGGGTTTTACATAAAGTAACAAAAAACCCCAAATCCTGCTTCTTCATTATACAGGACAGATGTGGAAGATCCAAGTTAATCCTACTCAGTACCCATTAGTTCAAACTTCATATGGAAACTTCATGTTTAGCTTCTCTACAGTTTCAATCTCCCTTCCTCATTTCAAGAAATGAAGGCATTTGTGTGCCATGACTTTTTTCAAGGTTTGTTACTGAATTCATCAGCTTTTCATTTAACAAGAAGAAAATTAATCTGTATGGCACAGGCAAGAATCTCCAAGTGAGGCAGCTGGACTGGAGCACGCTTGGATTCTAAATGCAGAGAGGATCATTAGCACATACAGCTCAACTTCTGGATGACAATTACCACTGAACATTACTTCTGCTGACTGACTCAAAGAATACACATCAGTAGAAAGCTAAGTAGTAGGGAAGAGAAACACACCTGTAAAAAAAACTAATATGACATTATAAACAAGTACAAATATTAATTTAAAGAGCATTTCTTTGAGGAAAAGTGTCTTTTCTTATCTGCAGTGCTGTGTCTTACGCAGAACAGCTGACTTTGTATTTGATCCCAACTCACGGGGCAGAATGAGGTGCATTCTCTGCAAAAATGTCTATAACAGACCTTTTCATAAATAAAAACAGATACATGAACATTATCAAAACGTTAATGTGAACCTATTTATTGTTGATAGAAAGCCAAACTAAATGCTCACCTTCTAACTGCGACAGACTTGGAGGTACAATTACTGGTTATGATGGGTATTAGTCGAGGGATGTGCGTATGCTAGAACAAAAGGAAGAACAAAAACAGGAAAACAGCTTTACATTGCAGTTCCATGGAATGAAAAGCCATTTCCTCTAGCCACCTGAGACCTATACATAAATATTTTTGTTAAATTCCTAAAAATAGAACTGCCAAATAAAGGAACACTAACAAATATGGACAGATTTTTATTATTAAAAATATATCTTATCTCTAAAAATATCTTTATACATTTTTATTTTCTTCTATAATGACAGGCTCCAATGAGTCAAAGAGCTGAAGTCACTTGAGGAGGACCTAAACTGTCAGTGGTTACAACTTAAGAGGTGTCAAGCTATCTACAGCTTACTCACTGCATCATTAGGCACAGTCATCTCTGCAACCTAATGGTTTTCGGCAGCAGGTGCTGCCCAAGAGTTTTATAGCACAATTAAGAGCGTAAGTCTGTACTGTAAGTCAGGTTTAAAACCAATTTAAAGAAAAAAAGTTTGCTCATTTCTGAGGGATATAAACATCTTACTCTGTAAAAAAGCATTTCTCCTACCATTTCCATTACTTTTTCCTACTAGTTTTTAAGGACTGATCTATCATCATTAGTCTACACAAGGCTTCACAACATCTAAGGCAGACAAGCTTAGCATAATCAGAAAAGCAGATTTGGCATTTGATCTAATTTTCCTTGCAGTGACATTCATACTTTCTCAGAAACACCACAGCATTTGAAATTGGTAATATTTTGTTCTCTTTTGACTTGTACTTACTCGAATGATTAATCTAACTGCTACAACACCAGAAGTGGCCATGACTTTGGCACTATTTGGAATTAGATTAAAAATTGTTGGCATAATGGCTTCTGCCCCATGGTCAAACTTGTTTCCCAGAACTGATGACAAATGTCTGAAAAACAGAATGAAGTCATGCTGTAAGTGTGCTGAGGATTAAGAGTGTCAGATTGTACAGAACATCTGACATTAGCATATTTGACATCTCACTCTTCACAACTGGCACCTCTTCCCCAACTCCAGAGAACACTTTCAGAAATAGTTCCTTGACTTTCATTTCTTACATTCTACGTTCACCTGAACTTCGACAAACAATAAGTTTGTCATGAAATAGAGTAACCTGTTCAGCTAAACAGTTGTTAACAAACAAGAGGTACAATGCTGAGTACAGGTATTTCTCTGAAATTGTTAGTTTGTATTGCAGTTTCTCTGAAGTTACCACTTTTGCCTTTGTATGTATGAATCCACCCCAATCTGCTAGAAACACTGCAGCACCCTTTTTCTTGTTAAATGATTTTCTCAGAACATGAACACGAAGCTTGCTCATTCATTCAGCACATCTTAATTTACATAATTTAAAACTCAAGAATACAGGTTTGTACACCTTCAGTTAGTAACCTACATAGTTTTAAATGGCTGTAACAGAATGTTCTGCCTATTAGTATATAGTACTAACAGCGCCGGTCACATCCTGAATGTGTTTTAATCAGCAGTTGTTCCTGTTTCTACAACACATTTTAAGTGTGTTTAGAAAGTAAACTTACCCCAAGGTGATACAAGCCTCTCGCACTACCTGAGACCGCAGGTCTTTAGCAGATAATTTAAATGCTCCATCCAAGAGTCGCAAGTGTTGGAAGAAGTTATCATATTCTGCAGCTCCAGCCAGGAGTAAGGAGCGGATCTTTTTCAACTGTTAGCACCATAAAACAAAGCAGTGACTGTTAATGAGCAATATACACAAGGACGGTTATGTCCAGGGTCCCTGTACAACTACACACGTTGAGGAACACCACTTCTTAAATCAGTCTGAGCAATTTTTATTTCAGATCTTAACTCACAAGCTAACATACTACGAATGCACAATAAAATAAGCATGCTAGCTAACTGCTACAGGAATCCAGAAGTGCTGCATACAGCTACTCCTACTTATCATGAATAACCCAAACATTACTTTTTAGACCAAAAGTTCTCCTCTGCTCCCCCTTAATAACTTAAAAGACTTGGTTCATACTCAGATCTGAGTTACACTGACGTATCTAGAACATGTCCATTGACTTCATTAATTATCTGGCTCTACTGGAAGTGCAACCCTGACCTCATCCAAATAGCATATTTGCTATTAATACTGGGACCACAAATTTCATCATGGAGACATTTTTTCAGATAACTCCATAGGTCCTCATGAATACTGATGCATACGTACATTGCCTCAATTTAAGCTCACTGCTCTCACTAGAGCAAAGAAAAATGAAGTACACTGAATCAGCACAATTTGACACTCAGATCTGTAATATATGACTTGACAGACATGTCAAAGTTGCTATACCACTAATGAAAGTCTACTGTGTATAGTATTTATACTATGGAACACAGCTCATGTCAGAATATAAGACTGAATCTTGCCATGCTTATAATGCCTGATTATACACTATTATATTTCCCACGGTTGTAGTCATTTATTCAAATTTTTAAGTGTGTAAATTTTCTGAATTGTTTTGTATTTCCTTTTTGCAGAAGTATAAATAAGCTCTCTAGGCAAAATAACATTCTGCCTCATCAAGAAGTTTTAAGAGATTCTGAATCCCACTTCTGACATTTTGATTTCAGCATCTGCTAGCAAATTTCTAGCTTTACATCTGGAATTCCTGCATGACTTCCAGCTCAACCTGATGCTGTCTCTCCAGGTTCTTTCTATATCAAAAATAGCAATTTCCTCCACAGATGTGGTTTAAATTCAGTCTCATAAGGAAACATTTCCCCCAATCTTGGGGAAACATAACAGATGTTCACCACTTACAATGCATTTTAGCCGTACTCTGAGATTTTCCCAGTATCCTCTTCATGGTACAAGTTCAGTGCAGGAAAACCTTGTATTAATAGAGTTTGTATCAAAGATCACTACTCACAGCAGATACTCTTTGTTCCCAGTCATGCTTGTCATCTGATAGTATCTCTCTTATTTTGTTTATGGATTCCTCAAGATCCCGGCTAGAATAAATCTGTAAATTTAAATACAGAATAGCAACATAACGTGAGATTTACTCCAGAAAATAAGATCATTTCCCTTCTACATTCTTTTGTCCTCTACCCCTCAATGCTCAACTGTCACATGCTAGCCTTGGACACGCTAGCTAGCTTTGCATAATGAAAAGAATTTACATACTTCCTGCAATCAAAAATTATTACATGACCACGTGAAGATCAAAAGGGTCATCTTCTGTTATTTTACTACAGTTTCACAATTTTAAGCAGTATTCCTGTAGTGTCTAGCAAAAGAACAAAAGTCAGTAAGAAAAGTTAAAAGTCTAATGCATAACTCAAGCTGTGCTCACTTGTCCCAACAAGTAAACTCCAGTGAAGCAGAGGGGATACACATTTCAGCTACCCAGGTGAATCTACCAGCAAAAATGTGCCATCCTGTCATAGCACTCACAACAGTGATTCTGGAAGTACAAATCACCTTTACTCTTTTCAGTTTGCATACAGCACAGATGAAATGTAGGGAGGCTTTTGCTGACTTAAGTTTTTGTTCAACCAGACAGTGCTATTCAACATGCACATCCAGTTCCAGCTCAGCATCCTCACCACAATCCTCCTACCCCTTTTCCCTCCACTTCTAAGCATTTCACACACACTACTGGCAGCTACTACCACTTCAAAGTTGCCTCCCTACAACTTTCAACTTACCTTCCCCTTAAGATTTGCCAGCAGTCAAGTGAAGCTCAATTTGTCAGTGATTAGATCCTACATCCATCTTCTGCTGTTTTGTGTTATGTACTTTAGCAGACAGTTCTACTTACCTGAACTGTTGGGACATCTTCAAATGCCTTAATGAAGTCTTCTTCATCCACAGCACCTGCTCCCTCTTTGGCTGCTGACATGCATATGAAAAAGCCTTTTCAATTTTCTTATCAACAAGAGAATCAGTTAAGAAACCACTAGCTATCTATCAAGGCACCTAATCAGAAGAAAGTTCACTACCCACACAGCCTCCCAGTGCTGCAAATGTAATGAAAACAGAGGCAGGGAAATTCGATGCCAGTTACAGACTGCACATGCATGGCATCCTTCAACTCCTAGGCACAGAGGGCACATTATGGAAGTCATTACAGTAGTCACTCAACAGTTAGAGGGGACATTCTGAAAGATGAAAGGGAATATTTGCTCTAATTACACAGGAGATTTTATTTTAAAGGATTTAATCCTATCTATAATAGATGAAGGCGCAGATCTCCTGACAGGTACACAAATACACAAATGATAACGAAGATAAATAGACACTGGAATATTAATCAGATTAGAGACTGGGGCACGGGGAACTTCCTCCGTTTCTCTGGATGTTTTGTAATGACATTTAGAATTATTGCCCACATTCAGAATTATTGCTCCCTTTTCTTGCTCACATTCACTATGAGCTATGCCCAAAGGTCTTAGAAGAAGCCACCAGATCAGTTGTAGGTTGCACAGGCCAAAGTTTAGCACGTAGCTGTAAGCAGCCTGCCTCAGTCCAGCTGCAGAGCTGCAGCTACGAAAACAAAAATTCACACCCTGCATCACTGACATGATTTGCTCAAAGCCCTCAGTGCACAGCTGCACAGTTCCAGCCTTTCACAAATGCAGCAACACGCATTATAGAGATGCAGGGGCTGTTTGCTATGTGACCCTTAATGATTGTGGCATTTCAACAAACACACAGGTAACAAATGGTCTCACATGGGGGATAATCTATTACTGGATCCTCAGGGCCAATCTGAGAATTACACCGCCCGAAAGTCCATGAAATAAGTTGAAATGTGAAAACTACATATACTTTGCATAAAGGTAAATTCATATATGCTATCAGCTTACTTGAGGACTTGGATCCCAGAGGCGCAGACCCAAGTCTGCGGGTAGTCCCCATCCCAACCCTACGTGAGTTTGCAGGGGTCTTTGAAGATGTAGAGGAGCTAGCTGAGGAAGGTCTGTTCCCATCCACAGAGTCTTCATCATCAAAATTTTTATCTGCCAAAAAAAAAGCATAGTCAACCATAAGTCTGATGAAGCAAAGAGACTTCACAAGGAGCACACCCATTGGTGGCAAACACATTACATGGTCTACTGATGCTGGAGTCAGGTCTGCTCTGCCTGTTCCCACCTTGGCGGCTTCTTTCTGCTAGAGCCCTGGTTATTCAGGAATGGCTGCCAGCCACTGAGCCCTCTCCTACGCTACTGCAGCCACTGCATTATTACCCTTTAATGCATGTGTCCAGACAGAAAGAGTAAACCACAGATCTACAACGAGAAGATTAGCCACAGCTAATACTTGGGGTGCCTACAGTCTGTATCTGTTGGTTTTGCTTCCAAGAGCTATTTCCCCATGGTCTGCAGTAAAACCAAGAACACGAGCAAATCCAAGCATAGAAAGGACCTGGAAGAGCTGGCTGCCCTTTCACACCATCCTAACTGCCTGAATGAGATGAAGAATAAAGAACAGACTAACCCAGGAAAGATCACACGGCAACACCTACGCTGTTGGTAAGCCACAGATTTTTCTCTTTGGGACCATTAATCGCAAACCCAACCCAGAGCTACAACCCCACATTAACTTTTTAAACTATCAGCAGAATTTGTCTACATGGAAACAGCAAAAGTTACCTTAAATCCAAAAAAAAAAAATGTATTGGGTTAATTGAAGCTTAATGAATCCTTTGTATACAACTAAAGAGAACTGCAGGCCCCACTTCCAGACACGAACATATATTAACTTGAAATGAGTTACAGCCGCTTCGGTTCTTGCTGAAGGTCACTTCAATTCCAAAAGAGTGCTTATACTGCATTTTTACACAGATTAGCTAATCCACTTTGAAAACTGACCTTGGGTTGAAGGGTGACAAAACATTTGGACAGCTGATGTAGATGGTGTGTATATTTTACTGAGGCTAGACACACACACACGCAGTCCCCATCACTTCTCTTCTCCACACTAAAGCTTCATTCAAGACTTGAGACCTGGTGCATGCCCATCTCTACCCAATAATCCAAGGTATGCCCCCACTCTCTGCTGTTTCAGGAATACTTCCTTAGTGAATATCACTCAGCAAGCGACACAAGCAGGTGCTTTAATCCATCTCTGTTCAGGAAAGCACCTGGGAGTATCAAGTAACCAATACTGGCTCCTAGTGAGACGCTAACGAGTGAAATTCAATACATGTTGAGCACTCTAAAAGTAAGAAAATAAATTGATAACAGTAAGACATTCTAGGGAAGGCAAGAAGAAAGAGTCATGGAACAGCTTGTATTGACCTCAGCTTTCGCTCCCCCAAATGGCTCACTAACAGGTGGACACAGAAGACCTGTAAAGGATCATCTAAAAACCTAAAACCCCCATTTGAGAGCTGCACACCCACGCGATGCCATACTCCAGCCACAGCACTGAGGCAGCAGGTAGACAGCACCCAACATGGTCAGAAAGGTGCCCAAGGACACGTTCCATTACTGCTCACGTTCAAACAGTCTGGGAGTATGGGAAAGGGCTAGCAAAAAAAAGTAACTTCTAAAGGCAAGCAGGGGTAATAACCTCAACTATTGTTCAGGCAAAAGTGAACAAAGGAACTTTATCAAGAAATGTCAGGTCATACAGCTAAGGAGAAGAACAGACACATTTAGGATGGGGGATCTATCACAGTACCCTAAAGCAGCCATGCAGGACGTGCTACCTCCCAATCGACACTGATAACCTCCTGTTCTGACGTGCATCACTCAAAAACAAGATACATGGCTTGACAAGAGCTCAAGGAAGAGCCATGAGAACGATTAAAGGACTGGAAAACGTGTTTTAATTAAATTAAGCAAAAGTTCACTGCAGGGAATGGTTTAGCCCGATCTGATGCTTAACAAGTCACTTGATGGTATGGTTTGTAACTGTAGACTCAGTAATGTACTCTTCCAGTGTGATTTATTAATGATTCTCTAATAGAAAATATCCAACAAGGTGACCAGATGGAATTTATAAACAAATCAAACACTTTTCTGTTTTTTTTTTGTTTGTTTGTTTGTTTTTTTGTCATTTTGTGCAATCATCACAGGAATTACTACCCACAGGTTATGAGGTGTCTTATCCATCATATTCTACTACAAGAAGTTATTGAAAACATTTTTTTTTCTCCCCTGAAAGATACAGTCTAGTTCAAACAGGAATCATTTCAAAAACATTTGCTCAGAATTGCAGGGAAGGTTACAGCAGATCAAAATAAGACTTTAAAATGTGTAAGCTCTGAAGCCTCTAGGAAGGGGTTTAATGATGCAGATAAACTTGGACAGACCTCGAATACAAAATCTTCCAGACAAAATTTGCCCCAGTTACATTTATTTCGTATGCCTGCATTTAGATACTAAACAAACGACTATTTATCATATATATTACCAGCCAAGAGCATGTCAGTCATACTAAAAACATAGTTTATTACTTCAAAATCACTTGCAGCTGGTAACAGAATCCTCCATCAGTCACATTACAGCCTACCTAGACACTCTCATTTAACTCCCTCCCTCTTGTATCTGCATTTTTAAAACCTCAGCCCTCCAAAAGGAAAAGAGGGTGTGGTTTGCTCTTTTATGTAACACATACAAATTCAGAAAAACATATTAAAATGATTGCACTTCAGTAGTATTTTAGCAATTAAATCAGTATAAAACAGGCTTCTGAGTATTAACTAAAACAACAACGCTCCAAAAAAAAAACACAAAACAAAACAAAAAAAACACAACCAACTAGCCCACAGTTTTGGGGATGTTTAGGTTACAATCACATCTTCATTAAGTCTATAAAACATAAAAAGCAGTTATCTAATATTCCTTCAATAACCAAAGAGCATTTTCTGATCTGAGCAGCACAGCATAACAGAGACATTCACAACTGCACACCAAGTCTTTCAGCAGCACGTGTGCAGGACAGAAAGAGAAACAAAGAACAGAAAGAAACCTGAACATGGGAGTTCAGAAAATAAGAGAAAAACAAGCTACTGCCCATTATCTTCAAAAAGCCTTTCCCCCCCCCCATCGACTCGTGATCACAACAATCAGTTCAACTAGGACCATATTTTTTTGCAGCCCGTCTACAAATCACGAGGTGCCGAATTCAGCATGGGTGTAACTCATCCCTCCAGCAGAGGTGCACCAAAGCAGAATCAGTACGACGTTGTACCATTAAATAACCACGGATATTCTCCCACACACACCCCCCGTGCTCATTTATAAGGGACATAGTGCTCTCCATCCGAGACATGCCCCTGTAAAAGGGGCCTTTGTCTGCTCACACCACTCTGCTGTCTTAGGGAAGCAGAGAACACAGTTTGCTTTAAATTTTTCAATCCCTTTACATTATTTAATAAGAAAAGAATAGCTTACAAGTACATATCCTTCTGCAAATAAGCTTCCTCAACATTCCTTCATATTTTCCATAGCGTGCCCAGATGTAACGGTGCTTCTCGGAGAGCCGCGGCTTTCAGCCCAGAGCATAATCAATCATTGCCCCTCGGATTCATTAGGCATGCTGTCTTCGCACATGGATTCAAACAGCCATGGCTTCAGTCCTCTCCAGCGGCTCCACAGGATGCTCGGGAACACCCATCTCAGCCCAGGAAACTTCAGGGCACTTCTAGGAAGGAAATTCCCTGCTCACGAGGGGAAGCCGGGACAAACAATCCGGCTGCAGAGGAGCTGCCTCTGCCTGGCTGGGCTGGCTGGCGCTGGGAGCCAGCCCGACTTTATCCCCTGGGAAGCGCTAACAGGAGCATCTCAACAGCTGTCATCGTTTGTCCATGACGAATAAATTTAGTCATTATTCATCTCAAAACGTAACCCCTTCACGTCTGGCCAAGGTGTTAAAGAGGGAGAGGAGGCTGCGCCGGCTGCTCGGGGACCACAGAGAATAAGGGCCGGCATTTTCCCTGCCTGAACTATCAGCCTGGGACCTTTTAAAGCAAAGTAATTGGGGCTCAGATTTCCTCTCTGATGAAGTGAGATGCTTTCTGGCTTTTAAAAACATTACGACGCCAGACTGAAATCTAGTTATTTACCTGTACAGCTTTAGAGGAGAGAGCTAACTGTGCTGACTGGAGACGGGGGAAAACAGCTGACAATTCTGTCTGCTCCCATCGCAGACGCCCTGCTATGGCCTTGGGGCCCGTCTCTGCGAGGTACTTGGTCTGACTTGGGCTGCTCTAGTCCCACTGTGCCCATTTATCACATACCCCACGTCCAAGCTGGTGCAGTTGAAGGCAGCAGGCAACTTGCACCAACTTCCCTTCCCAGCACACAGCCTCCCTCCACCCCTTCAGCTACTCGTTTAAATATAAGCACCCAAAATCTCTAGCTTGATACCTAAATGGGATAAAGCACTGAGAAGAAAAGAAGCAGGATCTGCAGCAGCACTGCTTACCCTCTAGGTTTTTCCACCCAGCTTTCAGCTCCTTACCGCAAACAACCTATTTATGCTATCCCAAAGGAAATCAGGGATCTCTATTAGAAAATATTTTAAAACCACATTCAAAAATTTCAGCAGCTACAGAAATTAATCCAGACATTTTCTCCTGTAAATCCCTCGCTCCAAGACAGCTGTGAGGTGGCTGTGCAAAACCACTTGACTCCCTGGCACCTGCAGTGAAACCCATGAGCTGATTTTTGCTCACATACGAGCAAACCACCTGCACATCCTTCACCAGTCCTCCCCCCAGGTGCAGGTGAGGCTGGGCAGTACCAGAGGAAGCCCCTGCACAGGTCTGACACCAGGAGCACAGCCCCCAACGCTGAGGCTGAAAGGTTTCAGCACACCACAGCCCCGTGCTCAGCCCCTCTTGGCAGGCAAAGCCCAGCTCCCTGGAGAGCCACGGAGCCTCGTTAGATGCACAGGACACGCAGCATGCAAATGCACCGATGCCAAAGGCCATGCAGGATGCTTCTCAAGCCCCTCCTTTCTCCTCCTTTTGGCAGATGTGACCCCACCTGCACTTAGTCCATGTTTT